ACTGACAACAAACAAGTAAACAACTAGAACTTTGGTGTGTACGGAGTTTTGGGCCAGCATAATCAGAGGCACTCAGTGGTATCTGATGTTTGATGAAGTTCCCTGGTTGTAGCCGGGCTAGCAACTGAGGCCTTTACTCATAGAGTTACAAATAGAACATTTTACTCAGGGTTACAAACAGAACACAAGAACTGAATGACAATTAGGATGACAATGACTGGCAGTTATGTAATTATTTCAAATAATTTTACATACTCACACAAGGAAATAAATGTTTAAATGAACGAGTGGTCTGATTAAGCTTTTCAATTCTTCAAAGAATTTTTTTTTTGGCCACACCAGGCAGCTTGTGGGATCCTAGTTCCCTGACCAGGGATCGAACCCAGGCCCTTGGCAGTGAAAGCGCCGAGTCCTAATCACTGGACCACCAGGGAATTTGCTAACCCTTTTTAGAGTGATGCAAATTACTATCTGAAAATATAGAGTCTTTCCAAAGTGATTCATGGTTTCATTCAACATTCACTCACTAGAATAAGGTCCATGAGGATAAGGGTATTTGTCTATTTTGTTCACTACTGTATATCTAACACCTAGAACAATGCCCAGCATTTTCACTGAACTGAATAAATGAATAGATTAATAAGCATCCACTAGATGCCAGGTAGTATATTCATCTCAAAAGTAAGTAAGGCAGTTCCTGACTAGTCTGCAGGGCAGAAATAGAGACACAGATGTAGAGAACAAACGTATAGACACCAAGGGGGGAGAGTGGCGGAGGGGATGGTGGTGGTGGGATGAATTGGGAGATTGGGATTGACATATATACACTAATATGTATAAAATGGATAACTGATAAGAGCCTGCTGTATAAACAAATAAAATTCAAAAGTTTAGGGCTTCCCTGGTGGCACGGTGGTTGAGGGTCTGCCTGCCAATGCAGGGGACACGGGTTCGTGCCCCGGTCCGGGAGGATCCCATGTGCTGCAGAGCGACTGGGCCCGTGAGCCATGGCCGCTGGGCCTGCGCATCCAGAGCCTGTGCTCTGCAGCGGGAGAGGCCACAGCAGTGAGAGGCCCGCGTACCGAAAAAAAAATTCAAAAGTTAAAAAAAAAGTAAATAAGGCAGCTCCTGCACTTAAAGAGTGTACCATTTAAAGACTCTAACTAAAATAAAATCTCTTGATCTTCACTTATATCAAAGTACAGTTAAAAAAGCAGGTTGTTAAGAATCTAAAAGTAATACCTCTCCTGGATAAAAGGAATTTATTGTAGACTTCATATGCTTTTATACAGTTTTTTTTTTAATTTTTTTTTTTTTTGGCAGCATTGGGTCTTAGTTGCTACACGTGGGCTTTCTCTAGTTGAGACAAGTGGGGGGCTACTCTTCATTGTGGTGTGCGGGCTTCTCATTGCAGTGGCTTCTCTTGTTGCGGAGCATGGGCTCTAGGTGCGTGGGCTCAGTAGTTGTGGCTCTCGGGCTCTATAATGCAGGCTCAGTAGTTGTGGCTCACGGGCTTAGTTGCTCCACAGCATGTGGGATCTTCCGGACCTGGGATCGAACCCGTGTCCCCTGCATTGGCAGGCGGATTCTTAACCACTGTGCCACCAGGGAAGTCCCGATATGCTTTTAAATTTAGAAAATAAACTACCATGCTATCTTGAAAATTTAGTATTTGTATTATTAGGTACTATAATTAGATAATCTGTTATGAAGAATATTATGGTTAAGTCACAGGAAAATAGTAATTTCAGATACTTTAAAATTTTTTATTCCTTCTTTTCCTTCTCAAGTCCTTTCAAATACACTCTTTTAAAAATGAAGTGAGAATATCTGTTAATATGAAGCAACATAAAAGAACAAACAATCAGAAGGCAAATTCCAAAGAGATCACTGCTATAAATAGACATGGAAATGTCAGGACAGAGAAGCAAAGTTCCACTAAAAACAACAACAAAATTGTATGCCAAGTGAGTTCTATATCTCACACCCACCCATCTTCAGTTAAGGATTTCATCGGCAAAGATCCTCCATCTTCTAGTAATCTATCTCAAAAAATAAATGTGAGTAAAGGCAGATGTCCTGATTTAAAAAATCAGCTGTTTCTGGTTGTGCACAGAGTTTTCTTCCCCTTGTACCTAAGAAGCAGAAAACCTCCATCTGAAACTTAACCTAATCACTGCTGCTTCAAAGAGAACTTATTTCATGAAACAAAGAGCACTGGACTAGGAATCTAGTCTTGGCTCTAGTCTTGCAATTAATCTTGTCACTTTGTACATAGCACTCAAGCAATCTGGGTCACAGTTTCCTCCATAAAATGAAAGAAATGGACCAGACGATCCTCAAAGTCTTTCCAAGTTCTTAGGAAAAGTTCGAGTGAAGCTACTCTTCTGTGCCACCTAGCCTCGAAGGTCCCCAACATTCGTAACCACATATCCAACAATTTGTTTTTAGCTCTAGCTTTGCAGCAAAATAAGTATGATTACATATAAAACTCAATTCAATATTTATCAGGCTTTCTACCAAAAGAAAAGCACTAAGCCATACTGGGCAAGCCGAAGAGTAAAAGCCAGTCCTTGACCACAGCCCTCTCTTACACAGAGGAGAAACGGGAAAGGACAAGATCTTTGTATTCAGAACATTTGCTACAGTCTAGCTGGGGAGACAAATTTTAATTCAGCTTAATTATGTAAATACTTATTAAATACTTTTTGCATAAAGTGTCAGTTTTCAAACTTCGATGAGCATAAGAATCTAAGATGCTTTTTTTTTTGGCCATGCCCCATGGCTTGCGGGATCTTAGTTCCCCAACCAGGGATGGAACCCAGGCCCCTGGCAGTGAGAGCACCTAGTCTTAACCACTGGACCACCAGAATATTCCCCTAAGACACATTTAAAAAAATGTAATTTCCCATAAAAATGATTCACTACATCCAGGTGGGGCCCAGGTATCCACATTTTTAAAAGCACCCCCAGATGATGCTGGTGGCCCTGTTCAATTAACATTGCCATTAGCCTATATCAACAAAAAGTTGATAGGTTCAAAAACAGAAAATGTTTCTAGAGCTTGAGTTCTCAAGACTATATGCCCATAACAACTAGAGAACAAACTGCAAGGCATTAAAAATAAGCAAAAATCTGATGGAGCATATAGACTTTTTATTTCAGTGGTTTTCAAGTGTGGGCTGCACTTAAAAAAATCAACATAGGGGGACTTCCCTGGAGGTCCAGCGGTTAAGACTCTGCGCTCCCAATGCAGGGGGCCCAGGTATCAATCCCTGGTCAGGGAACTAGATCCCGCATGCATGCTGCAATGAAGATCCCACATGCCGCAACTAAGATCCAGCACAGCTAAATTAAATAAACAAATAAAATCAACGTAGGAAGTTTTTACAGATACAGGTATAGACCAGTTAAATCAGAGTTTCTGGGAGTGGTAGTTGTGGCTCAGCTTTCACATTTAAAAAAAATCTCCTTGTAACAAATGCAGACAACCATTAAATTAAGGGCAAGATCACTGGAATTGGTTAGTCAGGTTAAGTTTCGTGAAAAAAGATGATTTTTTATCAGACTCTTTACTTGGCTAAAAATTTAATGAAAAAGATAAATGTAACAGAAGAAGTGAAAGGAACCAATGTATAAATAAATGATCTAAGTAGGGGAGGAACAAATAGAGATGCTTTTGACCACAAAATAAAGGGAGACTAAGAACAGTAAATATATGAATTTTGCAAACATTATCACAGGGGCTGTGTGGTAATACAGGGGAAAAATTAAAATTAATCAATCCTATCCTTGTCTTGAGAAGACTTACAATCTAGTTAGTGATGTGTACTACAAACACATAAACCCCCTGAACGATGTATTTGAAAAATAACACTAATCATCATCAAATATACAGGTATATATGTATATATACACACACACCATAAAGCACTATATACTTTAGTAGGGCATATTACTAATCCACCCAGTGCAATTAGCAATACAGAGAAACAAGCTTCTATAATGTTACACAACACACGGGTTTTTTAAATTTTGTAAGTAATCTACTTTTATTACCTTACATTAAGAGTTGTCTTCCCATGAAGAATTTTATCCTAAGTCTTGATAAAAACTAATGCAAATATTTTAAACATCCAAGTAAGAAATACCAAATTGTGACTCATACCCTAGAAATTACAAAGAGATACATTTCATAGATTTTTAATAGATTCTTCCATTCTTTCAAGTCAGGCTGCCTAGGCTCAAATCTCAGCTCTAACATTTACTAACATGTGAGCCTGGGCAAATTCGTTAGCTCATCTGTACCCCAGCAAAATGGAGATTTTAATAGCGCCTATCTCATAAAGCCAATGTGAGGATAAATGAATAAAATACATGTAAAGCACTTACAGTGCCCAGTATATAGCACTTTAGAGTGTGCTATGCAGTAAAGACACAGAAAAAGACACAGCCCTTACTGTCATGAACCTTATAATCTAGTGGGAATTCTAAACAATAAATGATATTATGGTATTATTACCATGATATGGTACATGAATACAAATAGGAATCCCTAAATTTGATAGTTCTGGACAGGTTTTCTGGAAAAATGGAAAATTTTCAACAGGCAACAGTGAAATGGAAGAGGTGAGGAGTGTTCCTGACAAAGTGAAAGATATGTGCAAAGGCCCAAGGGCTCTACAGTTATGAGTAGGTGGGAATGACAAGGATGGCAAAAGGCTGGATTTATGGCAAATCAATGGTCATGAGCAATATCCTAGAGGATTTGTCAATGCTCTAACAGCCTTTCAATCAGGACATACTATTAAATCTGACATCCAAATCAGAGAAGAAATTTCTAATAACTGAGGGTGAGATGATACTATGGTGACTTCTGAAAGAGAAAAGACACAAATCATGGTGTAAAAACATAAGACATTTTTATTATCGTTTACTTTTCAAAAACAGATTAAACTGCCGTCTCTGGTATGCTGGTAAAAAGAAGTTATGTGACTTACCAAAGGGCACATGGGTCAGACTTGAATCTAGATCCTCTGGGACCAAGTCCAGAGTTCTTTTCACTACATGGGGCTGCCTCCAGTTTCAGACACTAGTCAAACTGTTGTTCTCCACAAAGTTCCCAAGTTACATTTGTGTTAACAACTTTGTCCTTTGTAATGCAAGTACTGATAGTTCTTGCTTCCATTCACACAGTCTGAAACAGAATCCTACAAACTCAATCAGAAAGGATACAAAAGTCATTAAGACCAATGACCAACATTAATGATCAAATACCCTAAAACAACATCCTGGACCACTTACTTTACTTTGAACTAACTGGCCACTTTCCTCCTCACATTTAACCTGAATCTGTTGTGACTGTGCACTGAGAAAATACAGGCCTGGTTCAAATGACACACAGAATACAGCATAAAGTTATCAGCTCCTTTTGGCTAAGAGTTGTTAGGAGGTGGGTGATAGATATAAAGATGAGGGAGGAAGTCTGTACAATTTTGCCACTCTAAAATGCCTATCCAAAAAGCTATAATGGACTTTTTCTCCAATAGCTATAAAATAAGAATCTGTTAATATTTCACACAGATTTAACTAATCCAACAGTGGAAAGTTATGCTGAGAAAGAATCAGTCATTTGGTAACCAATAAATCAGAAGGTAAAATGAAGAATGTTGCCAGTACATTCCAACTTGTACTATCTTTACTAATCTTTTTACTCTGTTATTTGATAAAACTGAATGCCCCAGCTAGACTTTTATAAGCTTAAAAACATTGACTTTTGCTTCATCCTGAGAATGAAATATGGAATACTAATTTCTATGATAAGACAGTGCTATAAAATAGAATTCAGCTTTAAATTTACCCAATCTCTCAAAGCACAATAAACCAGTTTTAGATTAGCTATGATACATCCACTTTTAAGAGGATTTACATTGCAAAGGGAAATGCATTTAGTCAAGAAAAGTCTGATTTCATCAGTTATAATGAAATTATCTAGAGTAACCAGCAAACTACAAATGGCTTTGAGAAGACTGAGTGGACTCAGAACTAATTCACATATAACCAAATCAAGTCACTGGTTATAGTTTTCCTACAATTCAGTTGCTGTTACAAGATCCTGGGTTTTACCAAAACTAAGATTTGAACATAGATGTTTAATCCAAAAAATTTATAGAAGTGGAGTACCACGGATTATCCTTTCCTAATTATGAAATACCAGAAGCCAAATTCTATGTTTAATAAAGCCAATTTCCATTTGATAGCACTTTCCAGTTTCTGAAGAGCTCACAGAGATACCTCATTTGAGGATACCAATGCAGGTTATGATCATTATGTAGATGAGAAATCTGAGACACAGAGTCTAAGTTCACTTGACCAAGGTCACAAAATCAACTAAAATGTAGAGATGGATTTTTTTCGACATTCATTCATTCAACAAATATCTAGAAAGCTAAGACTATGTGTTAGAGACTAGTCAGTGGTAGAGACAGACAAGGTCCTTGCTCTCCAGCAGTTTACAATCTAATGGAAGACAGACAATAAACAAGTAAACACATACGACATAATTTCCGATAAATTCTATAAAGAGAACATGGTAATTGGAGAGTGATTGCAGAATGGCACAACAGAGGTCAGAGATGGTCTAGGGAGATGACATCTGAACTGAGACCCAAATGATGAGGGCAAATCATCCATGTGAAGGTCTATAAGAACATCTGAATCAGGCAGAGGAAGATGCAAGCATAAAGCCCTAGAGGCAGGAATGTTCTTGGACAGCAAGGTGGCTCAAATAGAATGAGGAGCAGGAGTGTTTAGATAGTAGCCTGATTACATGGCGCCCTGAGGCCATTCCAGGAGATGGGATTTAAAGTGCAACAGGAAAAAAAAAAAATTAAAAAAAAAAAAATAAAGTGCAACAGGAGAGAAGACTAGGTGAGATGATCTATGTTTTAAAGAAAGCTTTTAAGCTGCTATATGAAGAAACAATTGTAATACATTCAAGTAGAGGCACCCTTGAGCTTCAAGAGTACTGGTAATGGTCTACTTTTTGGAGAACATTCCTGGAAAGCAGATACATGGGTGCTTGTTACATTTGAGACATTACATACATACATTATATACTTCGCTGTACAAAATTTCATAATTTTTAGAAGTAAATTGTAAAGATGTTAAGGGTGGAAGCAGAAAAAACAACTAGAATGCTACTGTAACAGCCCAAGACTGAGGTGACGGTAACTCAGGAGTAGTGGAGATGAAGAGTAGTGGAATGTGGAATATACCTCTGAAGTAAGGTAAATAGGTCTTCTTGATGGAAAAATCAGGGGCAGCAATCAAGGCTGACCAGTGGTTCTCACTGTGGAGTGATTTTGCCTCCCAGGGGACATCTGCAATCTCTGGAGACATTTTTGGTTGTCATAATTGGTATGGGGGTTCTCATATTGGTACAGGTTCTACTGGCATCTATGGGTAGAGGCCAAGGATGCTGCTAAACATACTACAATGCACAGTAGTGCTATAAAATAAAAAATTACTTGGCCATAAAGTGTCAATAGTGCTAAGGTTGAGAAATCCTGATCTTGACTGATTGCAAATGGTTCCCATCCTAGAATACCCGTACTTCCAGGAGACTCTACCAAAAAAAACTAGAAATGGAGGTCTTTACTTATTTTCAATGTTTAGAGATAACTAAAATTGTGGTATACATGAAACAAAGTTTATTTCTTTGGAGGTAAATTATATCACTCTGTGACTAACACTATGTTGATCAGGACTAACTGGTATATGTCTAATTAATAACATGAAAAAATCAGTTAATGATTAATAAATGCCATTTATTGGACAGACTTGCTCAAAGCACAGCTGAAGAAATCCTATTTAGCAATACCACCCAACACTGCTTATACAGTTTTTCTTTTTACCAGTTATGCTTAAATCTGTAGTCCAACACATTCACTGCTTTTCCAAATACAAATTCCCCCCCAAATCGAAATAGATGGCTATGCACACTGAAGGACATAATCAGAGCTGTAAATGGATAAAATGGTAGGAAAAGCTAATTATGGGAAAATGATGGCCCACTTGTACCTGTGTGCATGTAATTGCTATCAGACTTACTTTGGGCCTTGAGCAAGTGGATACATTAATTTCAGGTATAAGTAAGACTGCAGCACACGTTTCTCTTTATTACTCTAAGACTAGCAATGGGCAAAGTACTCTTTGAGACCTAACTCACTAAACACAAAATACCAAAGTTGGTAAAGTTCATTTTACCTCATTCTTTGTTATCTAAAGGGAAAGAATTTGGGGGAAAAGTAAAATCACTGTGATCGACTCCTAAAGCATTCTAATGGGCCTGAAACTACTACCACTAATGCAGTAAACTACGTGCCGCGATATGCTCCAGAAAGAAATTACCTGATAACTGAAGTAGATAACAAAAAACAAAATAATCAATATCATCATCTAGTCCCGGGATGACAATACAAAACATCAGAGTTCTCACAGGTTGCGGCTGAGGGAAACTATTTCGAAGAAGCCACAAAGCCAATTTTGGTCAAGAAATGGACGCCGTTTCTTATCTATAAGGACCTCAATAAAACTGGCCATGGATACATACGATACTAGGTTACTGAGTCTGGCTAAAACTGAATTTTAGGAACAATTACATTTTTAAAAGGTAAAGAAAAGGGCAGTCATATCGTCACAGCCTCATCCAAAGAATTTACACAATAACTTAGAAATCAGCTCGAGAACGAAGGCCTCCGGCCTAAATTCATCCCCACTTGTGACAAAACTCAAAACTGACAATCTAGAAGTAAAATGCAGGGACACTTCACTACCCTTAAAATCATGCCGCGTTCCCGCTATGCCGGGCGGACGTTTTCGGGAGTATCACCGCGCGGCGGCCAAAGCGCGCGTCTCCCACATGCCCTCCCGGCGGCACGCTCTAGACACTGCTGCGCCGCCGTTACGCCTATCAACATCCCCCACTTCCCCATTAGTACACAGAATGACCCTGGGCGGAAAGTCCACCCATTCTACCTCCTTGAGGCGGCGACCGATAAGAAACTACTCCTTTCCTCCAGCCTTTCAAAAATTCAAGCAGACGGCGGCCAGCTCACCAGTCTCTCCACTAACCCAGAGGGATAACCGCACCACCTCAACTCAAAAACGCGCATAGAGGAGGCGCCAATAGAAACCCCATTCTCGCGAAATCTAAAGACAATTCTCGCGATATCTCGCTGCCTGGCTTTTTCCAGCCTCACCCCCACACCAGCGCGTTGCTTCAAAACATCGCGAGATTTTCTTCTTTAAGTCTCCGCCCCTCTACGGCACGATGGTCGCACAAGAATGTGATACAGCCTCGGCGGCCGCCATTTTCTTTCTTTCTTAGCAGTTGGTTGAGAGGTCCCTGCGAAGAAGCGGTAGCGGCCACTGTAGAGTAGGCATGGCAGATTATTCAACAGTGCCTCCACCCTCGTCTGGCTCAGCTGGTGGTGGAGGCGGCGGCGGTGGTGGTGGAGGAGTTAACGATGCTTTCAAAGATGCGCTGCAGAGAGCCCGACAGGTAAGTCTGGACCGCGCGGCGAGACCCCGACAGCTCACGGTAATTGGCCGTTGGCTGAGTAGGCCGCTACTTCTTCGCGCATGAGGAAGAGGAAAGAAGTGCCCTTCCGCCCTCTGAAATGTGACGAGACTCACGTTTCCCCACGTTGGTAATATCGAATAGAGGCTGGAACTCGGTTTTGTGTTCTTGGTGTCTAAGCCACTTTGAACCCCAACGCGTGCTACGCGAAGATGGCTTTAGATTTTTTTCTCCCGTTTCTGCGGTACTCGCGCTTTTTTCTCCAGGGTGTTAGCATTTCCTTTTCCTCGGAGTGAACATCCTCTTCCATGGGGTAAAGCGCGCGTAGTTTTACACAATAGTATGGAAGCTTCTAGTAATGAGTTTGGGAAAGGACTAGGGTCTGTCCGCAGGAGCCATGGTAAGGGAAGGGATCTGTCATTAAAGCAGTCTTCAGAGCTTCCAACCCGTTCGAGCTCTCCCGCAATTAATCTTTCGGTACCATACACTTTCACACCTTCAAGGAAGAAAAATTAGAGGCGAGCACTCGTATTCCGCGTTGGAATCCCTCTTCAGGGCGGGATTTACGTGTGTTCTACTGTTCCTTCCCTCTTACTTCTCAAAATGGCTTCAGGGCCATTATACCCTAAGTTTCAATTTGAATCTGCCTCTCAGTTCAGAGTCGTAAACTGACCAGACCTCTTTGTATTACGTAGGTGCGTACATTTGCCCTGAAGACACCACTTTCCCAAACAAAAGCTGTAAAAAAAAAAAAAAAAAGTTATATTCCAGGATTTTATTTGAACTTTATCTTTATTAGATAGTCCCTTAATGTAATTTTAAAACGTGTGATGTTGGTATGGACTTGTGTCTAAGTAAAAGTAAGAATCTTATATTCTCGTTATGACACGATGCATGTTAGATGCTAGAGATTTTTAGAGTACAGTGTTAAGCTCATGGTAATCAGAATCCAATTTTGTGGTATGTTTTGATTCCATTAGTTCACTTCGTTAACTTATTTTTCACCCCCCGGTTGGATTAAAGGATCCTTTGAGTCAAAATCCATAAAATCTGTAGTGATGTAGCAAAGCGCTCATATTTTTATAATGTGAACACATTATAAATAAAAATGTACCTGTACTTGTTTTTAATCAGAAATTTTCCAAGGAGTCAACAGAAGGTCATCATTAACCCTAATTCTGCGATTTATTCACCTAATTCTTATTTACTACTTCTGAACATGTTTAGAATAGTGACTGAAACATTTATATAATGTCAGGAACTCTGTTAGAAGGGTTTTATTAGATTGGATTGGAAGACTCACCTGAATTATTTTATTCAACCAGCATATTGAATTAATTTGTGACACACACTGTACATAAATACTGGAGACTTTTTAAACGTGTTAATTAGGTTTCTGCCTTCTAGGAAGCTATGATGGTCAAGGAACCAAAGACAAAAGAATAGAAGTATCTGATTAACGCTTTCAAACAGTAGACAAAATATGGGCACTGTTAATTCATCCATTTGTTCTATAAACATTTTAGAGTTCTATGAATCAGGTACTGTACATAACACCAGGGATTGGGGTACCTAACTGCCAAAGTAAAGGACTGATATTTTAAGCAAGGCATTAAAGAATGAGTGAGAGTTTGACCAGTGGAGAAAGAAGCAGCATGTGCAAAGGTATGGGGGTTTTGGGGATGACAAGAACCTAAGAGTGAAGTCACTGGAGGATAGGGTTGCGTGGGGGAAGGAGGGTGGAAAATGAGGTGAGAAAAGGTACAGGTGGATACAACTTCTGAAGACAATTTTCTTATTTAGACTGCCTTTTTAAATATAGAAATTGTCCTCAAACTATGAATTTCTTGTCCTCTGTTTATATGCCAATAGCTGCCCCAGTGCCCTTTCTGTAATAAAATTTTAAAGTGTCTTTGCTGTAATTTGATTGCTTCTACAGAATTGATCTTAAATCTGAGATTCTCATATTTAGCATTTGAGTTGAATTGCCCCTTCTGGTTACATTTGAGAGTGCCTCTGTATATTGGTTGTAGAGCTGCTTGTCTGATTATGTAAGTGGAGTATAGGGAAAAGTGCTTGGGCTGAAGGGGCAAATTAGGTTAATCCCTGAAATACTTTTTTCCTTATCTATATTAAATGGATACTGAATTATATTTCCAAAATCTCCATCTAACCTTAAGTTTCTTTTCTTTGTCTAGACTATTGTGCTGTGTTCTTTGGAAGGAAGAGGTATAAGAACAGCTTCTTACCTTCAAAGAGCTGCATACTGCTTGGGAAGCTATTGGCATTTCAGCTGGATAGTTCTTTGTTATGCAGGAAAGCAGAACAAATGATAGGGATCCCTGGTCCCTATCTAGTAAATGCTAGTAGCATTTACTCTAGCTGATTGTTGCCGTGAGGCAATTGAGGCCGAGTTGCTCAGTCTTTTTTCCAGAGAATTCTAATAGCTTATTTTCTTAATGTGAAATTTCCAGATTTTTATAATATTCTGTGAGCTAAATCTAGCACAGGGGCACCAGACTGCTTCTCTAGTTTAGGTTTCCAACCTTTCTACTTTAGAAATTTGTATTTGGGTATTTCAAACTGTAACTGCACAGGGTGATGTTGAAATTCTTTGATTAGATCTTTAGTGATCACACTGATAACAAGTTCTGTCTTTGAAACACTGGAAAATTGAGATACAGCTATCTACTTTTTTCCCCTTAAGGTTATATGAAGATAGAAGTGAATCAGAGACTGAGACTAAGTATAGTGGTAGATCACAGGTTATGCAAGAATATCAATCCTCATCACTTCCCCTCTAAACAGCTATTAAATTAGTCGTTAAGTACTCAATTCTTGAAATCTCTTTCTTGATAATTGTGAAAGTAATTCAGACTGTATTATGTTTGAATGCAATGAAGAATTTATAAAATAGGACTGTTGACTTTTTACTTAGCATTAATCTCCAGTGAAAACTAGTATTTGAGTGTGTGGTGGGGTGGGGGGGTTGTTTGGTTGTTTTTTTTTTTTAAAACATTTTGAGATGGGATAGCAAAGCTTGATTATGATAATAAGCACAGATTTCTGGGCTGTAAAGAGGGGACAATGCTAATAAAGTGGTGGGCTAGTAATATTTCTAGCCTGTTCACATTTCTGGTGCATAGGAATTGAATCCATTAGGACCTTGCCCATAGTAGGTACTCATTATTGAATTGAATCAACAGATATCTTTAATGAATTAAAGCAGTAATGAAATTTTGTTCTGAAAATAATTATGTTCTTTCAAAGTGTATATCTTTGGCCAGTACAAATAAAAACCTGTTAAATTTTTTAAATTGAATATTTGAAGTCTTGTGAACCTGCTTTATAGTTGAATTAAAGTGTGCTGATTTGTTCATAGTAACTGGCAATTTATATGCTACATATTAGGCTCTGTGCTAAGCATATTTATATTAATTCATTTAATTCTCACAACTATTCTACAGGGTAAGTGTAGAAACTATTTATCTCTTTCGTACACAGAAGATGAATGAGGCACAAAATGCTTAAGAAAATTTGGCAAGGACACAAAGCAGTAAAACCAGAATTACCACTGACCCCAAATCACGGTTGGACCCCAAAGCCTAAGGAAGCATGTAGACTGAAAATTAGGAGATAGTCATTTTGGGCATTTAGGTAATTACTTCCGAAAATCAGCTTTTTGTGTGTTGTTGTTTGTGGTTTTGTTCTTGTTTTAATCTCTAAAATCAGGTGGTGTGACTGAATAATCTCAAATTTCCTTTCAACTCCAGAATTCTTGGATTCTAGGAATAATTGAAGAAACGTGGAAAATGCTAAAACATTGAAAGCACAAAAAATACTTACTCATTTGAGAAGTAGGCAGGGTCCAAATGGAAAGCTTGAATTTTTACTGTAAATTGAAAATCAAAGAAGTTACCTACACTTAATTCTACTAGTCTCATAAGAATTTTATATAGTTAGAGATTGGATTTTAGGAATTACTGTTTCTCTTAAATTCTGTGCAGTGACCTAGGAAGTGTATGTTTTCTATTGATCTTGGAGAATTGATTAAATCTGTGTTAGTATTTTTTCTAATAGTTCTTCTCTAATGTTTTTGTATTGGTTCTGAATTTTTGAGATGGTGTTAACTGGTTCTTCTGAGTGAACTAAAGATCAATTTTATTTTCAGTTGGATATTTTTAGAACTATTCAGTGGATAGGGAGGTATAAATAAATATCCTTTTTCTGTGCAGAAGTTCCTTGGAGTTCAAGGAGTGCTGCTTTGCAAACTCAGTGTTTATAAAAGCTAACTGCAGAAGGTACTACCAGCGTAAACCATTTTCTTTCATTAGTATTAACTCTTTCCTTGGACCAGAAATATTTTCCTCATAACATCAATGCCTAGCAGTATGTTAAATTTCCTGAGGAACAATTCAAATACTGATTGCTTTAAAACTGAATGGTGGAAAAGCAGTTCTCAGATGTGATGAGGAAAACTCAGGAAAGAAATAAGATTTTAATTAGATCAAAGATTCGAATAAGCTTTTGAGAAAGTGAGAGATGATTAATATAGGTTAGAGTGACCAAAGCTATGAAGTCAGGAAATACATAATTGTATACTTTTCTTGTTGAGCATTTTTATATTTAATCCTAATATGCTTTGTGGTGGGTGTTTGCATTTACAGATGAGAAAAAGGGAAACCTAGGAATCCTAGGAAATACATTTGGTATATGGGAACTGATATATGTTTAGGACTTACGTGATACATGTTGGATTCAAGTCGTTGAATACGCTTATCCTTTCCAGTTTTCTAATTATAATGAAGCTTGAGGCACTTGGTTTAGTTCCACATCAACACCTTTTTAGAAGAATTCCAGTCACCAAAAGTTTCATTTTCTGTTTAATTTTTATCATGGATAATTTCAAGCATACTCAGAATTGAAAGAATAATGTGGTGAACTCTAATGAGCCCATCACCCATCTTTGGTGATTACCACTTGTAGTAACTGCCAAGGAGGTGTGTAGAAATTGGGACTTCTCCACCATTGACTTACTATGTAACATTGGTTAAGTTACCTCTTGAGATTGTTTTCAATTGTAAAATGGATATCTATCTCACTAAATACTGTACCTCATAGAATTGTTGTGATGATTCAGTGACAAAATGAGTATAAAACATTTATTATAATACAGAGTTTGGCCTTTTGCTGGCACTCAGCAATTTTAGTTCCATTTCCCTTTTCATAGAAAAATGCAGTAAATAACCCCTGGTTGTGCCCCACTTATGACTTGAGGCTGGTGTTTCTTTTTTTTTTTTGCGGTACGCGGGCCTCTTACTGTTGTGGCCTCTCCTGTTGCGGAGCACAGGCTCTGGATGCGCAGGCCCAGCGGCCATGGCTCACGGGCCTAGCCGCTCCGCGGCATGTGGGATCTTCCCGGACCGGGGCACGAACCCGTGTCCCCTGCATCGGCAGGCGGACTCTCAACCACTGTGCCACCAGGGAAGCCCGAGGATGGTGTTTCTTATACGATGTTTGCCCCACTCTAAAAGTTAAAAGTCTCTAACAATGAAATGAGTTGTGGTTCTGTAACAGAGACTTCCTTAGATGTACAACTTCCCAGGCTTCCTCCACACCTCCTCGTTCCCTTAGAAAAAGATTGTCCAATAGAAGTATAATGCAAGTTACATGTTTTGTTTAACCCAACATATCTAAAATATTACCTTTTTAACGTGTTCAATATAAAAATTTTTGAGACGCTTTACATTCTTTATATTTGTTCCAAGGTTTCGCTATCTGGTGTGCATTTTACACTTGAAGTACCTCTCAATTTGGACTAGACATATGAAATACTCAGTAACCAAATGTGGCTAACATTTTACCTTATTAGACAGCACAGCCTTAGCCTGTTCACGTTCTCCCTATACCAACACAGAGAGTCATGGGAGAGAGACATGGAGAAGATAGGATTAGGATTCATATTTTCCTCAAAGTTATTTGGTCAGTCTTCTAAAGATTCTTAATTGATTACTTCTTTGTTTTTATAGAGATATATCAGAAGCAATTCCAGATGATGATTATTTGTTAACTCTGAAGTTATTAATGATATTAATAAATTGAACTGTAATTTTAATTTGTCTATCAAATTAATTTTCTTATGTGATAGATATTTAGCATATATTAGGAAATAATGTAGTTATGATGCTATCCTTAATGACGGTGTGTTTTTTGTTTTTTAAGATTGCAGCAAAAATTGGAGGTGATGCTGGTACATCACTGAATTCAAATGACTATGGTTATGGGGGACAGAAAAGACCTTTGGAAGATGGAGGTAAGTTATAGCCATAAATATTTTAAATTGTTTTACACAGAGTTTAGTTGAAGTGATTTTCAGTATTTTTCAGATGTTCTTTTTTTGAAACATTGCTTTTATCATAAGGTTCCTAAAATTGTAAGGGTTATATTGGACTCAAAAGGAGAGGGGGGAAAAGAGACCTAGACAAGGTAGGTAAAATTTGAGTTAACCAGCCAGTTTTGTCTTACTAGAGAACATCATTTTCCCTCTTTTAGGATTGTGCCAGATTGATAGTTTGCACAGACGACTTGTTAATATACTGAAGAAAACAAAAATACAAAATGTTTAGGAAACATTTCATGGGTTTTTCTCATCATACATGAATTAATCTGAGATGCTGTATTCTCATTACTTTGTTATTTCAGATTTCACTTTAAAGGTTGAAGTTGTTATAGTTTGCTACTTTAGTGTGTTGCAGGTTATACCATTTTTTGTTTGTTTTAGTACCTTGTTTTGTGTTTCAGGTTTAACTCAAAATGTGGCTTAAAACAGTAGATAAACAGTGCCTTGTATTTTTTAAAAACATAATTGTTGAACCTTCTGAACTTAGAAGTCTGCACATATTTTTTTGTTTTAGATTTGATGTATGAATTTTGATACATTTTCTTTTTGCCCTTTTTTTTTTTTAAAGGAGGATTCTGAATGAGCATATAGAATGTATTTGTAGCTTTTGACCAGGAGTGCTTGGTTTCCTTTTATTTAAGTGTCTTTCACATTTATAGTGAGGTTTTAATATACAAAAAAAATGAGCTAATGATGCTTCAGATGTTGTATGTAATGTATTCTTTTTATTTTATGTGTAGATGGCTCTTGGACAAGTCCGAGCAGTACAACACACTGGGAGGGAATGCCCTCTCCTTTTAAAGGCAGGAATTTTTATTTATTACCTGTGTTCAGTATGTAAACGTGAAATAAACCAGTGGATTCTTAAATGGACACAAATATTTCTTGGATTATGTGTCTGAATTTTTGTTGCACAACATTCTGATGTTTAATCATTTAAGTTTGAAGGGGGGAGGAGAACGTAGTACTACTTTGAGCTGTAGGTTGTCTATTCTAAGGTACGCATTGTATTCATGTGTGTAAAGGATGTAGATAAAGATGAAGTCATGTAGTTGTTTGAGTTTCTTTTGAAGTTTATGCTGTGAAATGTTTGGTTAGGAACAGTAGAACAGTTTAGATTGAGATTGCCTTGCAATGTGATTTTTTACTTATTTTTCATAGCTTTGTGTTCACTGTCAGATACACTCAACTTTTGATATGTCAAATTTTCACATTTTGATAGGTTTTTTTCCTTCCAATCTTCAGTTCCTACAGTGGGAAGCATCATTAGACTTTAGCATGTGATGTTTTGCTAAGTAACGGACTAAATACTTTGTCTTGTATCATTCTAAAGTGCTTAACATACATTAAGGTCAGTGATTTGATTCCGTAAAAAAGAACTTTTTTTAATGTCTGTGCATCTTTTAAACATGAAGAGAATGAAAGAAATGCCGTTTTCTTTCGATCACTAAGTGTTTGGGTTGAGTTTTGGCAGTTTTGGTTCAAATGATAAACCATACCCTCAGCTATTTCAGTAAATGTTTATATTGGTATTCTTGATTGGGCGTGGGGGAGCTAAGTCTTATGTTTGTACTTACTGGCAAAAAATTAAAAGACTCTTAATTTTACAGATCAGCCAGATGCTAAGAAAGTTGCTCCTCAAAATGACTGTAAGTATTTATTTTAAATTGGGTTAAAAGTTAAAGTAACTGGATTTTAATATTAGGGCTTTGTTCCTATGTTTGTTGGGTATCTTTGAAGTTAGTTGGAGGCCATAAATTATCTTTTTGTATGAATTTATTTGTAAAAATATACCTCCTATCTCCCAGTTCAGTTATGGCCATGTATCAATATAATTTAAGATTTAGTTGCTAAGTCATTTTACATGTTCAATTTATTTTATAGCTCTGTTTTTGAAGTACAGTTGTTATATATTTCATTATGGTTTATCATTGGCTATTGAATGTAGTTCTTTGTGCTATGTAGTAAGAACTCATTGTTTATCCATTCTGTACATATTAGTTATATTTGCTAACCCCAACTTCCCACTCTATCCCTCCCCCAGCCCAACACCACCCCCCACCACCTTAAGTCTGTTCTCTGTCCACTAGTCTGTTTCTGTTTCGTAGGTAGAATCATTTGTGTCAAATTTTAGATTCCGCATATAAGTGATATCATATATTTGTCTTTCTCTTTCTGACTTAGTATGGATATCTAGTTGCATCCATGTTGTTGCAAATGGCATTACTTCATTCTTTTTTATGGCTGAGTAGTATTCCATTGTATATACGTACCACATCTTCTTTATCCATTCATCTGTCAGTGGACATTTAGGTTATTTCCATGTCTTGGCTATTGTGAATAGTGCTCCTATGAACATAGGGGTTATAGCTCCATTTCTTAATCTTTGCTTATGCTGCTTGAAAAAGGACAGTTTTTCTTCTATGCTATTGCCAATAATGTCTGCCATTTCACTGAGTTTCTTGCCCACTGTCAGTGTTAAGTATTCTGCATAAAATTTTGTGCTCTTCAGGGTGTTGTCTGTGTGTCAGGGAAAGATTTTAGAATTGCTTAAAATGATTATATTGTTAAATATATATCAATTAAATTAAATTCTCACTTTATTTAATTTTTTGGTAGCTTTTGGAACACAGTTACCACCGATGCATCAGCAGCAAAGGTATAGTCAAATAAAAGCTTTTCAAAGAGCACTTTGCAAGTTTTAGTTGAACTGTATATGAAACACAGCCAAGTTAGTATATAGTGAATATGTGTCTGCTTTTTTTTTTTTTTTTTTTTTTTTTTGGTATATATAGCTCATTTCCCTTGACTCAAATAGGTGATAGCAAATGATCTGTTTTCTTGAGTGAGATACGTTTGTAATTTGAAAGGATGGGTGGAATTAGCCACACTTTAGAAGAACTAAGCTGAATTAAAATAACTGTTAAAATGATATCTCCTGAACTGTACCCCAACTCCTCTTTGTTCGTGCCTTCAGACTGTTGCATCCACCATACCTTCCTCACTTGATGTGTATGACCTTAATTAAGATGCTGGGTTTAACTACTCAGGCCCCATATTTTGACTTTGAGTATTTTAAGTATGTGCCTAGAAATCTAGTTTAAGCTATTAGGAGCCATTAGATTTCCATTTTTATGTTTACCTTTTATTTGTAAACAAATTATCTATCTTTCTTTGAAGGAAAATGTTGGTTTCTGTTATTTTTTAGCAGGTCTGTAATGACAGAAGAATACAAAGTTCCAGATGGGATGGTTGGATTTAGTAAGTAATCTAATTTTTTTAAAGCTATGAAAAAACATAATCAAAACATACTTTAAAATCTTTCAGCAAATAATTTTCTTTTTTCTTACTAGTAATTGGCAGAGGAGGTGAACAGATCTCACGCATACAACAGGAATCTGGATGCAAAATACAGATAGCTCCTGGTAATGTTATTCTCTTGCTATTATTTTCAAAGTGACAAGAAAACTAGCATTTTTAAAGTTGCTAGTGAAAATGATGCTGTTAACATTTTCTTGGCCTAAGATTTTTGTTTGTTTTTAATTGTAGACAGTGGTGGTCTTCCAGAAAGGTCTTGTATGTTAACTGGAACCCCTGAGTCTGTCCAGTAAGTACGAAAATCATGTTCCAGCCCTTCCTTCCTACTGAAGGATATTGTCCCTGCAATTGAACTGACTTTCTCCTGCGCTATTCCTTTTCCCCTTTTTTAGAAAATTTCTAACAGCATATAAACATGCTTGAAAATCCCTCTAAACAGAAGACCATCCCTAAACCCCACATTTCTAATTCTCTGCTCTCTTTTACAAAAAAACTCCTTAAAAGGTGGTAGCTCTGCTTGAATCTTCAGCCTTGATTTCTTTCCCTAAATTCCAGATTCATATCCAGCTGCTTCCTTAGTATACTGTCCACTTGAATGTCTACTAGACATCTTTAAATGTTAAACTTCAAATTGTTAAAAACAGAATCATTGTTTTCCAGCCCATGCTTTTTCTTTTACTCAATCTAGTTCATCTCATTTCAGTGTATGAAAACTCTGTTTTAATACTTTATCTTTCTCTGAAGTCTCATTTATCCATAAGCATTTTTTCCTTCCCAGTTATTTGGAATTCAGCCTCTTCTTGCCACCTTCTGTACTGTCACCTTATCTATGACACCATTTGCCTATATTACCACAATGTGTCTCCATTCTTTTTAGCCTTGTCTAATTATAGTATAGCCATACCGATCCTTTTAAAATATGAATCAATTCATATCACTACTTTGCTCAAAGATCCTCTAATGCTTTCCCATTTAGAGTAGAAGTCAGTGTCTTTATTATGTCTTGGCTTACCTGCCACCTTTCTCACTTCATATTTTACCATTCTTCTCCCAACTCACTCTGTTCTAGCCCCATTTAGCCTCTTTTCTATTTTTTCAGCACACCAAGTGTGCTTCTCTTTAGAGTCCTTTGCACCTTCTGTTTCTTCTCCCTGGAACATTTTTCCCCAGATATTTTCATAGTCACTCCTCTACTTCCTTCAGGTCTTGGTTCAAATGTCTCCTTATTAGTAAGGTCATTCATTTTTCTTTTTTTTTTTTCTTCGCCCTGCTATGCGGCTTCTGGGATCTTAGTTCCCCGACCAGGGATCGAACTTGAGCCTGCTTCAGTGGAAGCGCAGAGTCTTAACCACTGGACCGCCAGGGAATTGTTCATTCATCTATTTTGCATAAAATAGCATCCCTTCACATACATACACACAACCTGTCCTCCTTATCTTGTTTTGGTTTTCTTTATAGCACTTCACAAGTGACATGTTGTTTCTTTAACCTGCTATTTTTACTTATTTAATGAAGTTAAGCCATGCCAGCAAGGACCTTGTCTTTTTATTTCATTGCTGTAACCCCATTACCTAGAATAGTACCTGGCATATAGTTGACATTTCTTAAGTATTTGTTGAATGAACAAATAAATTTTAACATGTGAGTAACCAAAGTAAAGGTTTTAAAAAGTAAACACATCGTTTAATTTTTGGAAGAATGAGCTTTATTCTGAGATAACTTTAGAAGTAGGATGTGTCTTGGAAATTTTGGACTATTCTCAAAAATATTGATTATATATTGATACCTAGAAAATTTATTGTGTGGTTTCAGTCTTTGACACTCATGGCATTTTCTTTTAATTGTTAAAATTTAGTTTTAGGCCACCTTATCCTGAATTGGGATGGGAGGAGTACCTGATTATATTATTTTGTATTGGCTATTAATTTGTTAACAGATCAGCAAAACGGTTACTGGACCAGATTGTTGAAAAAGGAAGACCAGCCCCTGGCTTCCATCATGGTGATGGGCCAGGAAATGCGGTTCAAGAAATCATGATTCCAGCTAGCAAAGCAGGATTAGTCATTGGAAAAGGGGGAGAGACTATTAAACAACTTCAGGTATTACTATGTTTGTAAAATGATTACTTTTTGTCTGTTTTGAAGCCCGTTTCCTTCCTCTCCCCTCTTGTTAATACATCTGATTTCTGTGATTAACAGGAACGGGCTGGAGTTAAAATGGTTATGATCCAAGATGGACCTCAGAACACTGGTGCTGACAAACCTCTTAGGATTACAGGGGACCCATACAAAGTTCAAGTAAACTTAAGTTTATATTTTACAAAGAGGGATTTGGGGTGGATGGCAGAGGGGGAACACATGCATGAATAATTACAGTGTTTTGAGACACGATTCCTAAATTGGGTAATTTTTTCTACTTCAGCAAGCCAAGGAAATGGTGTTAGAATTAATTCGTGATCAAGGTGGTTTCAGAGAAGTTCGAAATGAGTATGGGTCAAGAATAGGAGGAAATGAAGGAATAGATGTAAGTAAAAATACCAATTTAGAAGTGGTTGAATGCTAGTCCATAAATAAGGTTTTTCCTGTTTTGTTTTACATAGCCTTCTCTAACATTGTACTGTCTTCCCCCCCACTTTCTACCTTAAAATACAGAATGTGTACTTTGTATCTTGCCAACCTCTTTGATATAAATATAGTACTTCTATGGTTTGGGGCAGATTAATTTTTCAGGAAATGGCTTTCCTAATGCTTGGTCTTCTCTGCTTAAGGTCCCCATTCCAAGATTTGCTGTTGGCATCGTAATAGGAAGAAATGGAGAGATGATTAAAAAAATACAAAATGATGCTGGTGTTCGAATTCAGTTTAAGCCAGGTGAGTACATATATTTATTTTCTAAGCGTTGGTGGCAGTTACTTTTGACATTAATTAATTTAATGCTAAATTAATCCAATTTGTTTCCTTTGTTTAAAGATGACGGAACGACACCAGATAGAATAGCACAAATAACAGGACCTCCAGACCGATGTCAACATGCTGCAGAAATTATTACAGACCTTCTCCGAAGTGTTCAGGTTTGATAGAATGTTAAATTTTCATTGTTTTGTTTTCATTTTAAAAATACCTTCATTAAATGTGAAAGTCCCCCTCCATATTATTTTTATCAGAATCTGTTTGGTGATACTTTATTAATAGCTAGAAAGTTTAAATTGCTTTAAGGTGAACATTTTGGAGCAGGACGGCAGCTACATAAGTGCACTGCTTTATTCACCACGGCATAAAAGGAATAAATGGTGGTGGTCATTTCTTGATTATTTGGGCCAAGGTGTGTCCCAACTTCTCTAAACTTCTCATTTAGGAAAATGAAAGTCAAGGGAAATAGATGTGTAATAATTTTACTGTGGAAAGAAGAGCATATTTCTGACTTTGTCTTTCCCCTCTTTTAGGCTGGTAATCCTGGTGGACCTGGGCCTGGTGGTCGAGGAAGAGGTAGAGGTCAAGGCAACTGGAACATGGGACCACCTGGTGGACTACAGGAATTTAATTTCATTGTACCAACTGGAAAAACTGGATTAATAATAGGAAAAGGCAATGTATTTAAAACTATTAATGTGTGGTTAATAATTTAACGGTTCTGGATGCTATTTCTGTTGCTGTTGTAAATGAGTAGCAATAATTTTTTTTTGGCTGTGTTTTAGTAGAAAAGTGTTCTTACGCTGATAGTAATACCTAAAGCCTAAATGAAGGGCTTTATATGTACTTAAGTCAAGAGTGGGATTTGAATCACATTGGCTTTTAGAGAAGGGAACCAACAGAATAATTATTAGTGTAAGAAATTTTTCTTCTGACCTAGAAAGTGGTTAGTGTTTTTGTTTATTTTGCTGTTTCCTGACATGCTTTTAAATTTTTGAATTTTTAAATCATTGTGTTAGTTTGTATTTACGTTGCTTAGAAAAGGAATTTCTTTGAAGCAAATATTTTGATGTTATAATTCATTTTAAGGTTGGGTGCAGACATACTAAGTTATGTCTTAAAACTTAAATGTGTGAAATGCTTCATATAATTTGATTTAAAGTGTAGAATAAATGGAAACTCCTAGTAGAATATTGGCAAATGGGATACTGTTCATACCTTCCTTCTTAATTGTGACCAGTTTGTTTTGAATAGCTCCTCTGTATCCTTTGAATCTTTAGAGAAATTACTGTGCTTTGATTTTAGGAGGTGAAACCATAAAAAGCATAAGCCAACAGTCTGGTGCAAGAATAGAACTTCAGAGAAATCCTCCACCTAATGCAGATCCTAATATGAAGTTATTTACAATTCGTGGCACTCCACAGCAAATAGACTATGCTCGGCAACTCATAGAAGAAAAGATTGGTGTGAGTATGCTTTAAACTTCCAATTGATAGCACAGACCCTGTTAGTTAAATAAGACATTAATTCATGTGTTCCTATAAGTGCTGGACAGAAAAATGTTAATTTCTACTCTAAAATTATAGGTCTGGTCACATAATAGAAGCATACAATATAGAAGAGATTTTCCAGTGATGAAAATAACCCAGTTAATACACAGTTACAGGTGTTCAGAACCTTGTACTTGAGGGTGGGTAAATAAGAGGATAGCATTACTTGAGTTACGGTATTAGGGTTGGTGGAAGATTGTGGAATATACCTGAAGGAGACAGTTAACAGGAAGTCACTATTAAGGGCTTGCTTACCCAACTTTGGTGAAGCAAAGGTGAATCAGATGCCTGCCCCCTCAGTAAAGTAGAAATCTATAAATCCTAATTCTTAGACTGGCTGACAGTCGTCTGGGGAGTTTTAAAATGTCGAGCGCTTGGGTGCTTTACACCTTGACACATATAACGTACACAGTTCTGATTCAGAATGTCTGCAGTAGGACCCAGCATCTAATTTTAGAAGGATGTTCCAGGTGATTCTGGTGCATGATCAAATTTGGAAATAGTGAGGAAATAGTGCTTTACTGTGTTTATCTTACTGTGAAGAATTAACGTGAACGAGCATCTTAAATTATTAATAATAATTAGAGTATCTTAGGAAAGTTCTTCTTGATGTTTGCCATGCTGTGAATGGGGTGTTTCTCTCTGCTTGGGAAAACAAAAATAGATGTACAAAAGACACTTCAGAATATCTTATGGGGACTTCCCTGGTGGTGCAGTGGTTAAGAATCCACCTGCCAATGCAGGGGACCTGGGTTTGATCCCTGGTCCGGGAGGATCCCACATGCCGCGGAGCAACTAAGCCCGTGTGCCACAACTACTGAGTCTGCTCTCTAGAGCCCGTGAGCCGTAACTACTGAGCCCACGTGCCACAACTACTGAAGCCCGTACGCCTAGAGCCCATGCTCCGCAACGAGAAACCACCTCAATGAGGAGCCTGCACACTGCAGCGAAGAGTAGCTCCCGCTCACAGCAGCTAGAGAAAGCCCTCGTGTAGCAACGAAGACCCAACACAACCAAGATAGGTAGGTAGGTAGGATGGATAGACAGATTTATTAAAAAAAAAAAGAATACCTTATAAAAATATACACAAACATAAGTCCTGTGGTATGGAGAATAAGTATAATTGTTCAAAAAAATGAAGAAAATAATTGTTGGACTCAGTAATGGCAGGAATTGATGGTAGAAAAATGAATAGTGCATCTCGGTTTTGGATTTTGCTATCATCAGCATTGCTTCTGGATTGATGGACAGACTAGATATTGTTCAAGAGAAGCTCTTAAGAAGAACTTGGACTCTTGAGGCAGGCTATTTGGGTTCAAAATACTCTGAATCATTTACTGACTGTGTGACCTTGGGGGAAGATAATTACACTCTTCTTTGCCTCTTTTTCATCTGAGAGTGAGGATAATCATACCTACCTTTTAGGGTTATAGGGATTAAATGTTTGAAGTATGTGTGTTTATCCCTTAAAAGAGTGCCTAGCACAAAGCCCTGTAAAAATGTTGCTACCTTTTTCAGTAATCCTTTTTTTTTACTATTTGGAAAGGAAAGGTTATGTATAATTGAAGTGAGGGATAATGACAGCAGTTAGAGACTTAAAGAGACAGGTTATTATGAAAGTCTTGAAGTTTGGCTTTATTGTAGTGAGAAAATTGACAACCATATATAGATTAAGCATTTTTGTCCAAATTGTCACATGGTGAGTATTAACTGCATGAAAGGAATATTTTATTTTAGAACAGTTAAATCTAGTGGTCCTTACAAGTTGGATTATCAAAGAAGAATCAACTAAGCATTATTAATTATGTGGCATGAAATGGATACGAAATATCCTGATTTGTTAAATCAATTAAAAAGGGAATCTTCATGGTATTCAGAAAATTATGATGAAAAGGGTAAGGGAGGAAATGAATTAAATTATTGATTGAAATGGGGCTCAGTGACAGGAAGGCTGTGAGAAGGACTGGTTTGTTGAGTGAGAACTTGTTACATTATTGGGGAAGTATTCAATAGCCAGTTCATGATATGAGACCTAAGCAATTTGAGGACTGTATTGTCAGCATGGTTCTCTGATTACAATGTTAAGTGAATAGATGTAGAGTAGATGCAGAGAGAGAAGAGCTAGAGGTAAGAACTTGATATTTGATAAGCTTCCATGATTAGTATGATAAAGGGCTAGTAAAAGTAAAAATTGTACAAGGAAAGGGAAATAATGGAAAAGGGAATAGCCTGAAAAGAATAGAAGGTAAAGTTAACGTTTCAGTTCTTTGCTAATGCTGTTGATTTTAATTAATTTTACATGCCTTTCAGAAGTTTTGCAACATGAGTGAGGAAATGAAGAAAATCATAAATTTTAGATTGCTTGTGGTTAGGTAAAAGGGTAGAAATGGAAGGTTATTTGGCCTTTGAAATGTTTAACCATTACTGTCTTTCTGATTTTTGTTTGTCTTTTGCTTTTTTGCAGGGCCCAGTAAATCCTTTAGGGCCACCTGTACCCCATGGGCCCCATGGTGTCCCAGGCCCCCATGGGCCTCCTGGGCCCCCTGGGCCTGGAACTCCGATGGGACCATATAACCCTGCACCTTATAATCCGGGACCACCTGGCCCTGCTCCTCAGTAAGTTTTGAGTTTGGTTCTAGGCTTTTCCTCAAAGATTCTAGATTTTGGGAAACTATTTTAAAATTGATTTCTGTGTTTTCAGTGGTCCTCCAGCCCCTTATGCTCCCCAGGGGTGGGGAAATGCGTATCCACATTGGCAGCAACAGGCCCCTCCAGATCCAGGTAAAAGATGCTTATCATTTGGGTGTAATCTGTGTTTTTGTTTGCCACTCCTGTTATAGTTATACATTTTCTAGTGTTGATTGTGTGCATTTTCTGCACTTGTTTCACTCCTTCAGCAGAAGTGTTAGGTTCTGGTTCTACTACAGTGTATAAGACTGTTGTGAGTATGGTCTATTTTCTTAGGTCTTTTTCTACCTGCATTTGGCTTTCTCTACTTTAGAAGTGATATAGCAGAATGCTAAAAGCCAAGAGTATAGGAAGAAGTACAGTGTCTTAGGTTTTAGATGCTAGTGCCATCAAATGTATGTTAATTGTGACATTATCCATGAAAGAATAGTGTATATTTATTTATAAAATTGTGTGAGAGTCAGTTGGAGTGTTTAATCTTTGGGCATTAAACTTCCAAATTCTCAAGATACGTAAGTTGCCTATTTTAGTATTTCTGATATAACTTTACATTAGTAAAAAGCAGGCCTGTATTAAATATCTGCATGTTGGAACTCTCAGATTAATTTAGTTAAATATTTTCTCTGTTCAGATGTGATTTTTATCTGTTACATTTTATTCTATCCTTGAATCTTTTCCCACCCTGTGGTTTTCTTTCCATCACAGTCAAAGAGCATTAATTGAAACCAGTAACTTTTATTTATGATCCCTTTTTTTTTCTCACCTACTACATACCTCTTAGGCCTCTTTCACTGGAGTAGTTTCAAGGAAGGTACTGAATTAAGGATTCCTTTTCACACTAGTATACTTACTTTTTAGTTTAGTTTTTTTTTTTTTTGTGTGGTACGCGGGCCTCTCACTGTTGTGGCCTCTCCCGTTGTGGAGCACAGGCTCCGGCCACGCAGGCTCAGCGGCCATGGCTCACGGGCCTAGCCGCTCTGCGGCACGCGGGATCTTCCCGGACTGGGGCACAAACCCGCGTCCCCTGCATCAGCAGGCGGACTCTCAACCACTGCGCCACCAGGGAAGCCCTATACTTATTTTTTAAAAAACTAAAATAATATAAATGAAATTGTTTTAGTGAATTTTATTAAACATTTCTGGAGTTAAGGGTGGCCCTGTGTTATAACATACCTTAATTTCATAGGAGGTATATGCTCTTTGGAACATGATGATACAACATGACAGTTACCAAATAACCACAACTCCCACAGGTTCAAGAAACTAAACTGTGTGTGCTAAGGTCTTGAGTATGCAGCAACGAATTTACATTCTGTAGAAATGCATACTTAAAATGTTAGCAGTACTGTGCTAGAAGGACTTAAGAAGGGTCAAATATGATTTATTGTATAATAGTGTTTAAAGAATGGAAGGATTTTTCTTTCCCTCTTGTAAGCTAATTGGTATGGTGTTATTAAGCAGAAGAATCCCACCACTGAAGAGACTGAGAAAATTAAGGGGCAGATTTATATTGGGTAACTTGGATGTGCAGGATGCAGGACTGTACTTATTTGGATGCTCTGTTTGGGTAGGTAGTATGATTGAGAGAAATGATGGGAATAAGAAGTGGTCTCTGTTTCACAGTCTCATTTTCCCACTTGGGGTAGTGGTGAAGTCATCAGTGAAAGAATTGGTTAATGAATGTGGCTTTCAGCAATGCCTTTGGGAAAGAAATAACCCATTTTGCTAAAAGATAAGAGCTAGTGTTAGATATTGCTTATATGTAAAAAGCAAAATGAAATTTTCATTACTTTGTATTAAACATCCTGGTATTTAAATGTGGCCCTATATTGACAGTAAAGTCTGTATTCTCTGAATTAAAATCTGTTTCTATAAAAAAATTACTGGGTTGTTAAAGATTTATGTAGTAGTCACATACTTAGAGTGAAACACACTTGAATAAGTCCTAGTCATAACTTACTAATTATGGGATAGTAAGCAAGTTTTGAACCTCTCTATAGCTGTTTTCTTATCTATAAAATGATAAGTAAATGAATGAATATAATAATGAATGAATTTAGTAAGTGCTCAGTACGTATATATGTAATTATGGGACTGGTTTTTATATATGGTCTACACATTTTAAGAGTGTAAGTATCAATTCCTAAAAGTCTGTTTTATCTCAGTTTCTCTATCTAGACGTGCTGTGTCATATTTGTATTAATTACTATAAGGTAATGATACTGTGTATTGGGACACATGTATTAATTTAGAAACTTATGGAGAGTGGCATAATGCCTTATAATTGTATCACCTTAGACATTGGATCACTCTGGGAATCCTTACCCTTTTTTTCTCAAACATCACTAACCTTTGTTTTATTAGGCAGCTGAGAATTGCTGCCCATTTGGGATGAAGGCTAAATAGATTACATATAGATATAGAATCTGGTTAAGGAAATTACATCTTTCTTCAGAATATAAACTAATAAAGATATACCTATAGTATCATATGATACACCCAGTATAAAAGACAGAATCCGTAAGAGGATTTCTGTTTCAGACTGAGAAGTCTCAAACTTTTAATGCATCAGTTGATTTTTATGAAGGATGAGTGAGGGACAGTCAAGTGCAGAGGAAGCATAACATGGTGAAACGCCCAAATATGAGCATGATGACTTTTGAAAAGTACAACCAATTTACTGTGGCCAGAACTTGAGTGTTGGAAAAATATTGACAGCAGGGAGAGGAGGCTGGAAGGGAAAGTATAAGCGAGGGTGTCCAAATACCTTGTTAAATATGTTGAATGATATTCTTTACTTAAAAGCTTTAATAGTCCCTAAAGACTCCAGGAAATAAATGAATTTCAAATAGGGCAGTGACATCGAGTTTATCTTTTAGGATGATCACTGAAATATGATGAGATGAAATATGGCGAATCTTTTTCTTTTTCCAAGGTTTTTAAGTTGTCTCTTCATTGAAAACAAGATAGGACAGAGTTCATAGTTGTAAAATAATTCTTTCTTGTACAGGTTAGTCCCTAGAATTCCTTTCCTTTAGTCATCTGCCACATAAAACTGTTGTGCTTGAGGCAAAACTGGTTTAGAAAAAGAAGGGCACAGGATGGTTTGAGACAAAGCATTGGATTTGGAACCAAAAGATCTTTATTTGTATTCCAACTCTGCCAGCCACTAGTTTTCTAGGAACTAGGAAAGTTACTTAATCTCTGAGCCTAAGTTTTCTATAATAAAAGCTAATGATGACAGTAAAAATAATAGAAGAATTTGAAAGTGTCCACTTACTGTTTTTTAATGTCCAGTTAATTTGGGGGTCTATATATTTGCTAGAGAGGTGTGTGTGTGATTGATTATGGACTTTAGATACAAATATAGAACTTGTGTTTATTCTAGCTAAAACAGGAACAGATCCAAATTCAGCAGCTTGGGCTGCTTATTATGCTCACTATTATCAACAACAAGCACAGCCACCGCCTGCAGCTCCTGCCGGTGCACCAACTACAACCCAAACCAATGGACAAGGTAACTATGGTAATTAAAGAATTTATTTTCTTTGTGGAAGTGAAAACCTGTGTTTGGAATTATATATAAAGTATATCGGTGTATTACCCCCAAATTTATAATATTATTTAGTTAACAGCTTCAGTAAGCAGCCTTTGCTTTTTAAAAACAAGTTACTTTGAAATAACTGCAAATTTTCATAAAAGTTGTAAGATACATTACCAAGAACATCCAGATAATCTAGCTGTTGATGTTTATCTTCCCCCATTTGATCCATTACCCTGTCACATGTGTCCATATCCATTATCATTAGTCTTTTTCAGAACCATTAAGACCAGGCTATAGACATAATGCCCCATTACCCTTAAATACTTCTTTCTGTATTTCTCCAAAATTAACCATCACACGGCACTCTTTAATCAACATTGATACATCTTACTATCCCCAAGGCACAGCCGTTACTGAGATTTCACCACCAACAGCTTCTCATCAATCAAGAATAATTCTTATCTTTTTCTTTCAAAAGAGTACAGACCTTTTGTGAGATGTTTATGGATCAACCTAGGTCCCTTCAACCTTTTCTTATGAAGATGAGGTCACAGTCAGGGTTCTTGCTTTACATTATGGCAAGAATACGTCAGAAATGAATGCTGTTCTCTTAGTGCATTACAGTAGGGGTCGTATAATGTGGACCGGTTTTATCCCCAGAGGTGATGACCATGGTCACTCAGTCATGTTGATGTCTGCCAAGATTCTATACCATGAAATCACCATTTTTCTCTTTGAAATTAATACTGTCTATAGAGTTATACTGAGATTATACCACTATTCTGTTCTTTTTTTGGAGGGGGCAGGACAAACAGGATAATTTTATTCTCATTTTTCCTTAAAATAAAGATACAGTAGAAGTTTTACAGTTCAGTTTGATGAGATGTGATTTATAATCTTAACATTTTTTAAAAAACAAATGATAGCAAAAACAAAGAACTAGTACAAATTATAAAACTACTAGAGCAAAGAGAAAAAACTACCTTTCTGATCAAAACATGTACCACAGCTAAACTTCCTTAGAAAACTTCCTAAGATTTCTAAGCTAAACTTTCTTAGGATTCTGTTCCTCATTGAAGGCCTTAGCCTTCATTGATAATAGCTGCCTGATTGAATTACAAATATGATGATAATTTCTCCTTCCATCATTCATTCTGCACTTACTAGGTGGTATTTTACTATAGAAGAGGTTCCCTTTTTCTTTCTGTTTATTTCTGTATGTCAGTATGGATTCCTGCTTTATTCAGTAAGTTATGTTTTTAACTTAACCAGATTGTCCTAGATTTGGTCAGTCGGGAGTAGCTTTAAGATGGCTCCTGTATCTTTTTGACATGCCTGTCATTCTTTAAGCACTTCCCTACTTTCTTGCACAATAAGATACTTATATTGTGCTTTTTGAGCTCCAGCCCTTGAATCAGCCATTTTTCCAATGATCCCTGATTTCTTTTAGTAGATGATGATATTTAGAAACTTAACAGTTGTGTTCATTGCTGCTGAGGTGTTACTGCTACTAGCTCCTTTCAGTGTACAGAGCTAGGAAATGAATTTATGTACATGCATATCTACATACATATAAAAAATACATAAATATCCATATGTGTATGTATTTTAAAAACTGTACTCATATCACCTGCAGTTCCATTCCAGGGTTTCAGAGTTCTTTCTAGCTTTTCCCACTTTCCATGCTTATAAATGGTGAAAGACCTGGTATCGTCAGTGTGTTTTATTTGACCAGTGAATTTACTTACATGCTCAATGTAACTACTCTTCTAAATAAATAGACCATCTTCTCTGTACACTATCTCTGTACTCCCAGAGTCCTTTGTCTTTGGCACCAGCAAGGATGCCACTATCACACAGCACTTCTCTCCTACCCTCATTTTCCGTGACAGGCTACTCCCAACTCCTCTACACAAAAAAACAGAAGGAAAGGGCTAAAATTGCTTTTTAAAAACCTTAATCATAATTTTTTATGTTTTTCTTAAATAAGGAGATCAACAGAATCCAGCTCCAGCTGGACAGGTTGATTATACCAAGGCTTGGGAAGAGTACTACAAGAAAATGGGTATGTTCTACATTTCTTTTTTAATACATTTTATTAAACTGAAACGTTTAGTAAATATCACACTAAAAGGTTGAAGATTTTGATAAAAAGCATGTTTGTTCCATGTTTTTATTACCTTGGACTTCTTTCATCCAATAACTTTTAAAATCTTGAGGTATAGAACTATTGAACAAGAATGCATTCCAAAATCACTGAACTTTCAGACGTATCATGGTCATTACAAATAATTGTTAAATTTGTGGTTAAGAAATCTTTTTATTTCTAAGTGCATTTGTCAGCCATTTACTAATTGAAGGTAAAGGTTTCCCCACTGGCACATAGGACATTGAATATTACCTATACTTTTGTCAAAGATAAGTTACATGTCAGTAACCTAAATGACACCGGTTAAATTATAGAGCACCAAGCAAAAATTGGTTGCATGTGATATTATTTGTGCTGCAAAATAACAGATAAGAAGTAACCTACAGGGCTTCCTTGGTGGCGCAGTGGTTGAGAGTCCGCCTGCCGATGCAGGGGACACGGGTTTGTGCCCCGGTCCGGGAAGATCCCACATGCCGCGGAGCTGCTGGGCACGTGAGCCATGGCCGCTGAGCCTGCGCGTCCAGAGCCTGTGCTCCGCAACGGGAGAGGCCACAACAGTGAGAGGCCCGCGTACCGCAAAAAAAAAAAAAGTAGTAACCTACAGTGACAGAGGAAGTTAATTACTTAAATAACATTTGCATTATGAAAAAGGAAAAACAGTTACCTAGAAGGACTGTTTTCATTCAATAAATGTAGAGCATATACTATATGCCAAGCATGGGAATAGATACTGAGAATGTGACTGTGGGCATAACACTTAGGAGCCCTGCCCTTCTGGTTATTATATTCTAATGGAGGGTACAGTTGTCAGTCAAGTACTTTGCAAATATATTATTGCAAACTGCTGTGAATGAAAACTGTACAGTGGTCCCCCACTTTTACATGGGGGATATGTTCCAAGTCCCCTCCCCACCATGGATGCCTGAAAGTGCGGATAGTACTGAACCTTATTTGTACTGTGCTTTTTACCTATATGTACATAACTATGATAAAGTTTATGAGTTAGGTACAGTAAGAGAGTAACAACATTAATAGAACAGTTATAACAGTATATTGAATGAAAGTTACATGAATGTGATCTCTCTCTCAAAATACCTTGTACAAATTTAATGCCTTTAACTAAGCAGCTAATCACGTACCATTGCTGTAACCTGCATATTGAGGTGGGACAGCAAAACTTGGATGAATTTCTTTTTCCTCTTCCACAATTTCACAGATTTGTTCTTACATATATCTTAGCGACCTCAGTCAGCATACGATTTTTTTCTTTCCTTATTAAATGGAGAAATTTTAACCTTTTCATTTAAAGGAAAAGGCTTCTCTTTGTCATATCCAAATTGCCAGCATCACTATTCTTGGACTTCAGGGCCATTATTAAGTAAAATAAGGGTTACTTGGACACATAAGCACTGCAGTACCATGTAGTCAATCTTTTAAACAAGATGGCTGCTGAGTGACTAACTGGTGGGATATGCTAGACAAAGGGACAGTATGAGATTTCATCATGCTCCTCAGGATGGTGCACAATCTAAAACTTACGAATTGTTCATTTAATATTTTCAGGCTACGGTTGACCACAGGTCACTTCACTGCAGAAAGCAAAACCGTGGATGGGGTTCTTTCTGTCCACTGACACTTAGATGTGCACATTGGAAAACAGGTCACACAACTACAAAGTGGTGGAACCAGACTTTGAACTCTTAAGAGAGTCTAAGTCCCATTCCTGAATTTGCATTTTTCAGGAACCATTTCAAACCTGATGTTATACTTCCGGACAGACCAGGTTTTTTTCAGGTGCTTATTCTCAGTCATTCAAAATTAACACACTTACACCATTGCCAGTTGTCACAAATAGAAGCTAATAAGATAAACTTGCTCATTCTTCACTGATACAAAAAGTTTCTATAGGTGATAGTTTTGTCATAAGGTACAGTCTACTTGTGATTCTCAACGTAAATTTCAGTGTTCTTTGCCGTAACACCATGTTTGAAGATCCTCCTAACCCCCACCTTCTTTTCACTTGAATGTTTTTCTGTAGCAGCACAATGATAAGCTATTAATTTTATGAGCTAAGTGAACTGGTTGAGTGATTCCCCCTTACATGTAAATCTTAAATAATGTTAGGTTGTCAGGTCTTTAATGATAGCCACAAGGTCCACATATTTTTCCTGTATAAGTCTTTTTTTGTTTTTTGTTTTGTAAAGGATTGATTGCTTAACTACTTTGATTTCTTCTAGGTGCATTGCTTGTCCTTAAGATCTTTTTAGGATAACTACAAATAAGAAACCTTAAAGCATCAAACTAATCAGTTCAATCTTTTGGTGTTTTTAAATGGAAGGGAAAGAAAGGGGTAATAAAATATCAGGGAGAGAGAAAGATCTTTATCTCTAAGTCAAACTCCCTTATTTGGAAAGATGGAGTTTTACTCTTCCAAGTGGCATAGGTAGGATTCCCTAGGACTCTGGATGTCCTGATTTCTTTTTTTTTTCTTTTTTGTGTATCTATTGCAGTTTTGGGGTTTGCTGTTCCCATGAGGTTTGTTGTTTTTTTTCCCCACACACATGCACTGTAATTTATTTTTACAAGAGATAAATAAACTGACACCAAGCATTGTAAATGGATGACCACAACAAAAGCAACAATGATTACAATTATCAAACACGAAACACACTCATACTATGTCATAATACTGACATTCAGTCCAGTAAGGATGTCCTGATTTCTAATCCAGTGCCCTCGTCACCAAATGAGGGAGACTGTCTCAGCTTTTGAAGCCACTTCAGCTTTTTCTGTTAAGAACAGAAAATCCCCACTAATACTGTAGATTTGTCAGCTTGCTTATTAATAAAAGTCTGTTGAGGGCTTCCCTGGTGACGCAGTGGTTGAGAGTCCGCCTGCCGATGCAGGGGACACGGGTTCGTGCCCCGGTCCAGGAAAATCCCACATGCTGCGGAGTGACTGGGCCTGTGAGCCATGGCCTCTGAGCCTGCGCGTCTGGAGCCTGTGCTCCCCAACGGGAGAGGCCACAACAGTGAGAGGCCCGCTTACCGCAAAAAATTAAAGTCTGTTGAAACAGATGAGTTTTTTAAATTTTGTTTTCTGAAACAATTGTAAATTCCCTAGATTAGCATGAAGAGAACTTAAGAGAGAAATTCTTAAAGGTGAGATTCTGGAGGGTTAAAGACGGAAACTTTAAGGAATTCATATCGCTGTCCTGTATGGAATGACAGCAGTCTAGATGTGGGTGCTTTTGAAGCTAGCATGAAGGGAACTTTTGTAAAAAAGTAAACACCCTAAAGAGAAATAGGGTTTCAGAATAGAGACAGGCAGTTTCTATTTGGAGGAAAGTAAATGAAGGCATTTTGGGATAAGTTTGACTTGAGGCGGAGTCCCTTTTAATGTTAAGCACTGATATGGTGGACTCTGAACCCTTAGCGTATGGTACCTAGCCTAAAAGAGCCAGGCGTGAGTGGTTGTGGGAAAGATGCAGGTGTATGGAGAAATAACTGAGAGTGAAATCAAGCAAGACTGTCGCTTGGGCTGTAATAGAATGTTACATATGAACTCTAGGACAAGTTTTATCTCTTGAATGAGATGAAATTAAGACTTTATTGTAAAGTTACATGTAAATGTTAAGTATTGTTCTACTAAATTATCTCATATCAAAACAGTTTTTGAAACTGAGGAGAAGAATAAAGGGAACAAGTTAAGGACATGGCTTTCCAAAGGGCAAGAGGCTAGGGGAAGAGCCAAAACATAAATAGATTAGATAGGAACAGTTCTTTGCCTGCTTTCACCTGGGCAAAAAGAATGACATTTGCCCTTCACATAGGAGTGGAATGAGTTTTTCTGTGGACGCTTTCAAGATTGGAATGTCAAATGTTGATGACTTACTTAACCAAATGTTTATTTTTCTTAGAGTCTAACATGTTTACTTTTAGCTTTCCACAGGGATATTTGAGTTTGGGATGGGGGGTGTTTTTCAGGGAACATTTGAGTTTGATGAATTTTCTTGATATGTCTCCCTGATATTGTTATTTTTTTGCCTCTAAAATATGAGTATCTCTTAACAATGAGGTTTAGTTCCATTTGTAAACCTGAAGTGGAAATTGTTGCTGTCTTAAATAAGTTTGGCCTCAAGTCAGCAAGTTTTCAAGTGTGCAGTTTGTAAGAAAATGTTGTATATGGTTTTATTACTATTGGTACCAAGATATTTGGCAGTTGTCTAAATACTGAAACTGGTTTTAGATTTACTTGAATTGTGTCTCCTCATAAGATCAAAATGTTAGACTCACTTCCTCTTTGAAAAGAGTATGGAAAACAAAAGTGTGAGAATTTTGTTTACAGCATATGGGATTTCTCTGTGCTGTTGCCCATATAAGTAGGGGGCAGTTTCTTGCATTTTTTAAGTTAGTCATAAATCTTAAATTTTTATTTACTCAGTTGCTTTTATTCTTTGGCCAATTTTGTGATGGTGAATAGACCACTTTCTAAAACTCTAAAGTTGCCTTGTTGGCAACATCTAACAAACAAAAACAGCTTTCTGCCAGTATTTTTTGTCTAGCTGTAATAATTTTATAAAGTCAGATAAAGTACAAACTAAATAAATTTTTTTTCAAATAAAGGAGTTAAATAGGGAAACTCAGGTTCTCTTTGTCTCCAACTTTTGGTTTCAAATTTTTTTATACCTTCAGAAAATTGGAAAAATAGTACAGCGAACACCCATGTTTATATTTCCTATCCAGATTGACCATTTTCAAAAAGTTTGCAACGTGTACTTTGTATGTATACTTTTTTTGGTGCCTGAGCCATTTCAAAGTAAGTTGCCAACTGTTGCTCTAAATAAATTTTCAATAATATCAACATATTTAAGTTTCCCTGGTTGTCAGAAAAAGTGTCTTTTGTAGCTATTTGTGTGTTGGGGGGGAACTTGTTTTTATTTTGTTTTTTAAATCCAGAGACCATTCAAGGTTCATGCATCGCATTTGAGTATGTCTCTTTAGTCTCTTAATTCCAGAAGGTCACCTAGAAGAACGTGCTTGCGCAAGCTGTTGAGCTTTGTGTTTCATTGATTTTGCTTCTTAGAACCTCTTCAGTAGTGATTATTCTTTATGTCCTTCATCAAGTTATTTTTAATAAAATTGTGTTGTAATTTGGACACAGCATATTAAAACTTTAAATGTCATATTAAAAGATATCTTGAAGATTAGTGTTTATACATGTAGTTTATAGGTTACTTATCAGGAAACAAAAATGTTGGCCAGATCTTAAAATAATGAAGTCTTTAAATAATAGCTTTTAAGTGGGTTTTTTTCCTCAAAAAATGTTTTTTCTTTTTCTCCATTGAAGATTTACATTTTATTTAAAATTTATAGTGTAACAAATCCAAATGGATAAGAAAACAAAAGAAAAAAAATAGCGGGCCATCCATTCCTCCCAGCATCACCACTGGGGAACCGTGGACTGCTGTTCCAGACTGAATTTAGAGCATTAATTCTGTAATTGAATCGAGATTAGGCCTAAATGTTTACCTATCTTAGTTAAAACTATGTGGATGGCTTTGTTTTTTATTAATAGTGATGCTCTAGAACTAAAAGTTACGATTAGTATAAGGCAAAAAGAAAATAAAAGAGCATTTAGATTTTTTTTTTTAATTACAGAGTAGTTTTCTGACACTAATGAATATTTAAAATAAAACAGGAGCAATTCTGATCCTCTGTGCTTTTGTTTTTATAACCTGTACTTACAGTGGATATAATTTTGTATTAAAATTTAGGGGGTTTTTTTTAGGTCAACAAGGGCAGACACAAGATTATTCAAAGGCTTGGGAGGAATATTACAAGAAGCAAGGTATTGTTTTTATTAGAACTGAGATTCTTTGGGGCTTTTAGTTGTGGTTACAGCAACAAAGTTGTTTTGTTTTCTCAAAGGTCAAGCAGTTCCTGCCCCTACTGGTGCTCCACCAGGTGGTCAGCCAGATTATAGTGCAGCCTGGGCTGAGTACTATAGACAACAAGCAGCCTACTACGCCCAGACAAGTCCCCAGGGAATGCCACAGCATCCTCCAGCACCTCAGGTATAATAAATTTGCTAATGTGTTGATTTCAACTCCAGTCCTGTTTTCTGCATGTTTACTGTTGTCTGGGATTATGTTTGCCTTTTAAATTTTTATCAGGCAAAGTATAACTAAATGAAGTACTGTGGTATATTGTTTGGGTTTTTTTGTTTGTTTGTTTGTTTTTTACAATGCTTTCTGGCATCTGAGTGCTAGATATCTCTATAATGCCTTTGATTTTAAAAATAAATTTTTTTCCCCCAGGGATTTGCAAATCATGCAAGAAGCCACCACCATTTATATTAACCAGTTTTTCTTTCTTAAAGGATTCACTCCTGAGTTAGCTCCATTTAAAGGATTTTCTTTAACTTTTTGTGTATTTCTTATGTATCTCTTCTGCACAGGGCCAATAATAAGAAGTGGACAATACAGTATTTGCTTCATTGTGTGGGGGAAAAAAACCTTTGTTAAATATATGGATGCAGACGGCTTGATGAAGATCTTAATTTTGTTTTTGGTTTAAAATAGTGTTTTTTCTTTCTTTCTTTCTTTCTTTTTTTTCTTTTTTTTTTTTTGAAAATGTACAAAATATCTATCACTACTGATAGGAGGTTAATATTTCTGTGTAGAAATGAAAATTGGTTTGTTTTTAGTATTTAGTGTAGATGTACACATTCCAGCAAATGTATTTGCAACTATTATGTGGTCAATGCTTTGTGATATAAATGTACTTTTTTCAATGTATACTTTCACTTTTAAAATGCCTGTTTTGTGCTTTACAATAAATGATATGAAACCTCCTGTGTCGGTAAGTTGGATATGTGGGTATTTAAAGGATTCATAATTTCTTAGCAATGATAAATTAAGATACATATACACAAATATATAAGCTTTCCCCATGAAATATTAATTTGAGTTTTTAAACACTGGCATGTTTTTTTCCCCCTTGCAGTATAGTAGTAGATTGGAGGATCTTTTCCATTTATTGTATTTGGCTGTTTCAGCACAAGTAATCCTGATATCTTCATTTTTTTCCCCTTCTGTTTGATTAAAAACTGCATGTGTGTACAGTGATCTTTTGGCATACTTCCATTGCATTAACAGTGAAATTTCCTTTTATACATGACCACTGTTTCAGACCTGTACTGCTGCTATAACAGTTAACCTTTCTGTTTTTAATTTGATAATTACTTGATTTCCAAGACTGTTTCAGTTTTCGGATAGTGAATATGAGTAGTCTATAATAAGAACAGTTTTTTCATGTAAAGCAGCTCTTGCAAATGTATACAATATTAGAGTGTTTCTTTCTAAATTTAGGGTAGAAAAAGTAGTAGTGTGCAAAAAGTATAGCTACAGTGCATCTGCCATTGAAACATTATTGGGGTATGAAAATGTTCAAGCTTTTTTTTTCTTTTTTTTCTTTTTGCAGTATAGATAAGCTTTGTTTTGTAAATGCACAAGTCCAATCATTGAATCAACTTAATTTTTTTATGTACTTAAAATCATTTTATTACTCTATAACACTCATGCTGAAGTTCTGATATTTTGTTGAAATCCATTGTTTTACTCTTTGCATATTTGTTGGCTCTTTGCATATTAATATATTAGACTACATGCAAATACAGTCTGTCTTGCCATTGTCTGTTGAAGTGCAGGTTTGATCCAGCCAGTATAGAACTAGCTCTGTAGGGGTGAGGAGGACTGTGCTGTGTATCATCCTTGATTGTGTTCCTTCAAGGAGCATTGCACTGTAAGTACATCAGAATGACAAATTGATGAACTGCAACAGTATCTTTTTGTCAATGTTCCACATAATGCAAATGCCATACTTTGTGTGAATATTATGTTGGAATACAGTGCCTATATCTTGGAAAACCATAACTGCTTCTTAATTTAACATAGAATAATTCATAGGTCTGTATTTTTTTTTTAAAGTGAGCTTAATGGGTAAGTATTTTTGATATGCTTTAGCTATAGCTAAAGAAAACTGATCATTAACAAAGTTGAATAGTATTACTCATTGGTGCTCCTAAAATATATTGTTTTTCAGTGTAAAACATGCATATCTTATATATTAATATGAAAGACTTGAAATGTATCAGACAGAGTGGTTTTCAGTTTGCAAATATTAAGCAATGTAGTGGTTTTAACACCATTTCCTATATATATATACTAGTTCTTTCATTGGTGGGGGAGCACCATTTGCTGTTCTGAATATACTATAAAGAAAGATGTGCAAGGACATAAATGTTGAGATTACTTATAGGGTAGAAAATAGCAGTACAGTTCATTGTAGATGTTTTGAAATGTTGTTTGACTGTTTTATAGAACCTAGAGTGACTTCCCTTACCCTTATTTAGATATGGATATGTAGTTCTAGCTTCAAGTTTAATAGTTAAGGAGTTATCTGTTATCTTTAAGAGTAGGGTATTGATGTGAACAGTTTCAGTATTTTGCATGATACTGTTTTATAGATGAACTTTTAGGAAAGTGGTACATTAATTAAACTGAAGAGATCAGTTGGATTCAATATCATAACTCACAAATTGGAGGCTGTTGATTTTGATTCATTTAAGGTTTAAAATCTTTATTAATTGCAAACAGTGCAATTATTTATACTTCACAGTGCCTTCCCAGACCTTCCACCTTAGGTTCTGCTGCAAAAAGCAACAGGTAAGCACAACCTAAGGACATATATAAATAAATATTTCAGTACATTAATGTTGTCCCTGTGAGGTTTTTGTGGTTGTGTATTCAAAAGCAATCTGCTACTGCTTCCCCAAAGTGTATTTTGTTATTTATGCTACCATTTCAGTGGAAAGTCTTTAAGTTGTTCAAACAACTGTTTACATTTCTGGGTAATGTTTTTTATTTTAATTTTTTAAATTAAAACGGGAAAAAATGATGAGTAGATTGCTGCTGTAATTAAACTACATCCGAACTTTTCCCAAATATAGAAGAATTGTTAAAATTTTAAAAAGGACAGTTACATAGGTTTCAGGATTTAGGAAATCATTTGGTCAGACACTTCAACAGCCTTCACAATCTGTTTATGATTGACAAGACATTTTCTTTGCCCTCCAAAGCTATGGAGTCTTTATTTTTTTTCTTATTCTTGAACCGTAGTAACTCAGTAAGGACATTATGGGTCAAGAATTTCATTATGACTTTTTTTTAGACAATTCAGTTTTCATAACTTTTATATATACACTGAAAAAGGAAAAAAATTATAAGAAATACTGGCAGTATGTTTTGGTAAAGGCATGTGCATCAGTGAAATGTTAACTGTATAGCAAATAACCTTTCATAATCTGTATAGCAACCAATATTTTTCTGGTTTATAATACTTTAATAACTGACGCTGCATTTTATTTTTTGCCAGTTTAAAATGTTTGTGTGTTCTTATAGATGATTTTAACTGGTACATATTTTGAGTTAAGATGAATGTATTAAAGCAGCATCATATCAGTTTTGTTTATTCGATTTCTAAAATGTGCTGATCCTTTTAAAACTCCTGCTTATCTTTGCAACAAAGAAAAATATTCAAAAATACTGCCTTCATTTTCACACACAGTGCTGAAGATGCTGCAAGCACCAAATCATAGCTCATAAAATCAGGTCCTGAGATAGTTACCCATAAGAGGAATCCTTTGAGTGTATGCCATTGGTGAGCCGATGAGCATGGACCATAGAAGGGCTCAATGTAGAAGGTAAAATTGGCAAATCATAATTGAGAAAAATGAAATGTTTTCCCATACATAATATATGGTATAGGGTGTAATGTACCTGCTTTGATCACTTTTCATTTTAAAGTGCTATTCACTTGATCTTAAATGTTCCATGAACTGTTAAATTTTGAGTTATGTAGTTATTGCACCACATTTATGTGTGTGTATGTGTGTTTTAATAGTCAATGATAGGTATGTTAAGATTGATATTAAGGAGCTCTTTGAACCTTAAGAGCCTGTCAAGTTTTGGTTAGTTGTAGTTTGCATTTTTATAAAACAAAATACATATGAATGCTAATAGATATTGGGGCATTGTTTCTATCTCATGAGAATTTTTTTTATTCATTATCATAAGCCTTCACTGATACTGCAAGCATTTTTTAAATGGCGCTAATCTTAACCTTGAAATAAATGGAAAGCAGAAAAGGTGAGCCAGTTGATTTGAATGCAATGGATGTTAGGAGTGGTAGAAAGAATGTTTAGCTTGAAATTGATTTATTTAGCACTTAAACTTGACAATGTGTTTTTGTTTTTAAGATTTCTTAGTGTGGTAGTACTTAGAATTCTTATGGTTTGATGTTTCTTTTAGAAATGGGAAGTATACTTTCATTTTTAATTAATGAAAATGGTTTTAATACTAAAACTAGTGGTTTAATACTAGTTGTTTATGAGCATTGTAAAATACATCCTTAGACAGATACCTTAGTAGTTAATTACAGGAGTGGGTTTGGATAGGAGTGAACAGAGTACCTTAAGAGGGAAATAGAAATGTATTCAAAGTGATAACATTTGTTTGAATACTCTGCCAGGAGAACCACTTCTGCCTGCAAAGTTATGTTGTCTAGAATAAGGTTGTAGAAATTACTAATTAATGAAGATGTCTTTATTTTCTGAAAATTCTGCCTCACTTTAAAATGTATTTTAACAATACCTAGTTAAAGATAATTTTGACTCTGAAAATAACCTTATTTTTTGTTTAGTCACTTGAGTTTCCTTGCCACAGTAAACTTTTGAGGGATTTTTTTAAATTGGTGCTTTTAAGAAAGCAGATAAGTCCCAGGATTTTATTTTCTTCAGTGATACCCCTATAGAAACTCTTAAATGTATTTGCACATATATATATATTTTTTCTTATGCATGCTCAATGCATTTTCGTCCTGAGAAAAGTGTTCTCTACAGAAACTACCCGTGTAAAAAGAAGATTGGCTTAAAATGGCTACTGTGATGGGAACAGTGTCTTAGGGAGATGCAGCTTGGACTTGAGGTAAATTGAATACTTTACAAACTGTGGTTTAGAGTTTGCTTTAATACCATTGTATGTAAAAGGGTACATGATTGCTGTAATTTTGTATTGATTATGGTTTCCTCAATAAAAAAATAAATGTACATTGGTGAATATTATAAGGGAATGTTCGTCTCTTTTCTAAAATACTGAAAGACTTTTTTTTAAGTACAGAAGTGACTTTATTATGGGTTTACATTGTAAAATAAAATTGTCTTCCAGACAATTAAAATATAAAACAGCTTGATTAGTACATGGTTGCTAATTATTTACAAACTCACTTTAAAAACTCAAAATTGAAGATTGTGCCATTTTTCCCTAAATCTAATTCTAGATCTTGAAATCTTTGATTATGTTGAAATTGTTTTCTCCTGCATGAACTGTTAATACAAAGTTTTCTCATTAAAATATAATTTGTTCAGGCAAGGTCACAACACAAATTTGCTTTTATAAGCTTGAATATATATCACACACATTTGAAAAGTACGTTTGATATTCTCAACACTCAGAACTCTGTATTAGGCAGTGGTTTCCATCAGATTTGCTCTGGCAGTTGTTTCTTAAAAGTCTTTAGTTTTTTTGTTTTCTCCACCCAGAGGGAGAAATGACACCCCTACCCCCTCATATCTCTGCTTCAGAAAGACTCTGAAACTACAACAACCAAAATGATAAAACTACTGAGGAAAAAAGCCCACTCAAATTGATAGGTTCCAAATTCCTTAACTCAGCTATTTCAGACTAATTTTAGGTGTGAATAGCTCATAAGTGTTATTCTTTCATGCAAAATATGTCCGATTTATGATTTTTTTAAACATCATTGCTGTAAACATGGGAAATACGCAGCCTTTGTATGGGTTCTGATAGAAATAATTGAGTAAATTTCCCACTTGGCCTTATTAAATTACACACCAACGTATACTGCGTAATGTGAATCTGGTGCTCATTTGAAAAGGAAGGAGGTACTTTTCAGACGAGCTTGTGTTGTGAAGACTGTTGGGGAAAGGAATGAGGAGTCAGCATAGTGGCACTTCCAGTTTCCTTTTCTGGCCCCGCCACAGAAAGGATGGATGCAGTAAGAAAGTCGGAGAGAGAGGGTGTGTGTTCCAGGGAGAGGGAAGGGGACCTAGTAGTCGTCAGCTAAAAAAGAGAGAAGAAAAGTGATTTTTTTTTTTAAAGGAAAACATTTTAAAATAGAATAAAAGTTCTAGATTCAAAGAGTGATTAATTCTTACTTTCAATGGTAAGAATGCAGGTACTAGCTGCAGAGCCTTTATTGTTCACTGCTTTACACATATACTCTCCTTCATCTTCTGGGAAAGTTTCTGGTAAATAAAGACAGTAAGTTTCTCCTCTTTCAATATATTGATAGTCTTCTCCATCCTGCAATATTTCTCCTTCAAACCACCATGTAATTTCTGGTTTGGGTTCTCCTGTTACTTTAACAGTAAATCTAACTGGCTCACTGTCTACAACCGATGTGTTTTTTAGAGGCTTCTTAAACCACGGAGCTCCTGATCTGGTTTGTGCTTCATCTTCAATGGTGGAGCCATTCATGTTGCTACAATCTTCTTCTTCCTCCTCTTCTCTTTTCTATAATAAAATAAGTGCATTCAAGTTGGCATTTATACTATAGTACTATTTTCAGGACAGTGGTTTAGTAATAGAATTTGGAGGTAAATATATTTTTCCCCCCAAAGTAAAGAACGTGTAAGTATGCTTACTACAAAGTATTTTATAAAACATTTCAATTACTTGAAAACTATTAAAATTTTTTTTAATACCTCCTCATAAAACTTCATTGTCTTTAAAAGGTCATCTTTGGAAAATAAAGGAAATATAAGCCTGGTACCTTTTGTAGTGCTGCATCAATTTCCTTTTGTTCAAACTGCATGCGTAATAACTTTTGCTCTTCAATTCTTCTTTGTTCTTCTTCTTCTCTTGCCTTAGCCATTCGTTCAAATCTAGCTTTCATATTCACTTTATGAGTAAATGGAGCCTCACTTTTTTTTGCAGGCTTGATATCAACATCTTCTTCCTTTACAAAAATGGGCCAAGAATAAGAATTGTCTAAAAACCAACAAGAACTGAGATGTTAATAGTTCTGAAGACGTCTAGGCACAAAATAATTAACATGTTTGGTTATGCCTATTTGCCATACTGCAGACATGGAGATTTTCACTATCCCCCAATTTGGGAAAGATGAAAGTTTCATTTGTGAACTGTTTTCTTAACTATTGGAATCCTTTTCTCCCAGTGTAAAGATCATACATTATCTCTGGAGTCCTGGTGTATTTATTTGCCCAACCAAATCTCAGTGCTTGTTGATAATGAGTAACAGAAAAGGGTGAGGATATGATACATTGTTAACAATTATTAAAATACTTCCTTCTCGTTAGAGTCTCCATATCACTCTTCACCCTACTACATAATACAGAAATGTAATTTCTGTTATTTCCCACTTCATGATTTCTTTCCTCCTTTGTTAATAACTGAGATGAATTCCATTCAACAAATAATTTATTGATGGGCAATGGCAAAGAATGTTTTCAGATAGAATAAACAGGAAGACAACTATTGAAAGAGGCAGTGGTGGAACTTGGGGAAATCATTGAGGTGAAGTATGGTTCTGAGTCAGTCTGTTTAGGGGTGAGAGCTGGAAGCCATGAAAATAAGGGGGTAATTTAAGAGCAGAATTTAAACTGTCAAATAGTGTGAGTCTGTAAAACCAATTTGGTGATGATGAGATCACTCACTGGCCTTTTGGTAGCAGTTTTAGTAGAGTGGGGTCTTATGGGTACAGTTAATCCATGGTTTCAAAAGTACTTTAGTTGTAGTCGACTCTTGGTTTCTAAACTACTTAGACTCTTGTGGGTCTATCTGGAAATGCCACCACTTATATTTCACTGTACTATGAGGAAATTGCTTCCAGGTACCACGTGCAACCAATAAAGGAAATTTTGAAACAAGCTGTAAAATAACTGCCTGTGTAAGAAAAATCTTGGTTCATCAATGTTTTACATTAGTTTGAGGTGTTGCATTGCAGCTCCAATGAATGTAGAAGGAGGAGTTAAAAGTAAGTTGGATAGTTTTTCTGGTTCTCCTGAATCAAATTTTTGTTTGATACTGGAAAGTGCTAGAACATCAGACACAACCAGAGACCTAATGGGTAAATTCTATTGTTAACGCCATTATTTAACCTTCTGTGGATAAACATAAAGCCTGACTACCATTATTGTTAGTGAACAGTGTTGATATGATTGTTTATTATTATATTTAAAAGATAGGGTAAAAAGTACATGTTAAACAATGGTTTGCTTGCTTAACAAGCAAAGTATTAAACTGCAGTTTTAATCTCAGCAGGCTTTTCTGAGACTTACATGGAAAGAAAAATGGACCTCCTTTTTCAGACTTAAACAGTTCATGTTATTCTTTGCTTACAAAATAAATCCTCAAGATAGGATATTTCAGCAGGCACAATAACTGCTATTCTGACTGAATCCCTCCTGGTTAATAACTTGCCTTCTGGATTTTTGGATAAAATTTTGTGTAGGGCTTCCCTGGTGGCACAGTGGTTGGGAGTCCGCCTGCCAATGCAGGGGACCACGGGTTCGTGCCCCGATCTGGGAGGATCCCACATAACGCGGAGCGGCTGGGCCCGTGAGCCATGGCCGCTGAGCCTGCGCGTCTGGAGCCTGTGCTCCGCAACGGGAGAGGCCACAACAGTGAGAGGCCTGCGTACAAAAAAAAAAAAAAAAGATTCTTCATAAGTTAACTGGGAGAAAGTTCATGAACAGTCTTTCAGTTATTGAGTACAGTTGCCTTTTGTTGAATCCCTGAAAAGCCAGGTTAAAAGTGTTTCCAGGAAATGAATCTACTAGGAGAGTCACGTTATAAATGGAATGATCTTTGTTCTAGAGTCTAGGTGCATTCTTAGCAGGGCATCGATACTCCCAGCATGTGGCTATTACAGGCAACCGAAATAGGCAATGAATTTGGGATAAAAACGCAAGGAATGGTTTTGGAGTGCACCTTGTAAAATCTAGATAGAATGTCAAACACACTAAGGAAATTAAGTGGTTTACCTACCAAATGTTAGTACAGGTTAAGGGCTACAGGAGCTGGGACGGAATTCTTAGATTAGGTAAGGTTACATGAATGAGTTAGGCCTTGAAAGGTGTCTGGAACATAAAGAGAAGGTATTTTCTAAAGGAGGAGAACAAATATCAGATGGGAGGGGAAGATCCTACTCTGGAAGTTGATTATACTCTGCCAAAACTATGCTAACACAGGATCTCGGTGACCCTTAATCTAGAGGGATATGATAGGAGGAATGTCAGGTTCTACACAGGAAACTCAATTTAGGACATCCTCATGGATTACAGAAGATCAGCCAGGTCCTAATCTCATATCCTTTTATACAAGAGTCAGTAATTAAAACCAGAAGCCACCTACCTCATTTATTTTACCTACAAATTTTATAGGACTAGGTATCACTGCTCTGAGGTTTCAGTACCTTTTTTAAAAAAATGGAAGCACATGCATGCTTATTTAAATTCTTTACCTTCTGTGATTTGTCTCTAAAGGATCAACTGATCTTATGGCCCATCCGTCCATTTAATGTTGGTGTTCTCCAGGGTTTTATCATTCACCTTCCAACTATTAACTCTCAAGATGGTTTTATCTACATCTATACTTTGAAACAATCTGTAGCTCCTGCCTCTTCCCTGAGCCCAGTACCTGTGTTTCAGACTGCCATTATCTTTCCAAATATAGCTCAAACTTCACAGGTCCAAAACAGTTTATTCACCCCTCCCTGACCTCCTGAATTCTCCGTAGCATCATCTAGTTTCCCTGGTAATCTTGAAGCAATGTTAGGCTTCTCAGCAACCACCTGCCTGTAACTCAGTTTTGTTAAAGTTGGGTCAATTTTTCTCCCTTGCCCCCAACTTCATGACCATCTTCCAGTTTATCCTCCATGATCCCAGGATTCTGTAAACATAAGCCTTTTATTACTCTGTCTTAAAACTGATTATTTGAGCTTCCCTGGTGGCGCAGTGGTTAAGAATCAGCCTGCCAATGCAGGGGACACGGGTTTGAGCCCTGGTCCGGGAAGATCGCACATGCCGCGGAGCAACTAAGCCCGTGCACCACTACTGAGCCTGCGCTCTAGAGCCCGCGAGCCACAACGACTGAGCACGCGTGCCACGAAGACCGTGCTCTGCAACAAGAGAAGCCACCGCAATAAGAAGCCTACGCACTGCAACGAAGAGTAGCTCCCACTTGCAACTAGAGAAAGCCCGCGCGCAGCAACAAAGACCCAATGCAGCCAAAAAAACCCTGATTATTAACATTGTTCCCGGATTATAGTGCCCATAAGGTTAAAAAGGCCCTTCAGCTAGCTACAACCTAGTTTTACAACATTTTATCCTATCACCTATTATATGAACCTTTCCTTTGCACCTATTTTCCACTCTGCCAGATAAAGTTTTACAAACTTCCTGTTGACTCACATTGTCCTTCCAATCTGGAATGCTTTCCCTTTTTAACTGAAACTTCTATTCAGCCTTCACATTCAGCTAAAATGTCATTTTCTCAGCCCTGTTAAACATCTCCTAGGAATACTGATTCCATACTACTTGATCCCATAACACTAAATACATAACTATCTTAGCACTTAATGACAATTTTAATTGTTTTCATCTCATTAGGCTGGATTTCTTGAAGGCATATTATATTCACTTTTATGTACCCAAAACTTAACATAGGGCCCAACATAGAAGATATTAAAAATAGCAATGGCATTAGTTTTTAGCTGTGACAAAATGGTTTATAACCCAGTCCCTAAGTCCTTATGTTTTTGTGTATGTTGCACTAAGTTCAGATGCATATCAATTTAATTGATATCTGGATGTTCTACAGCATCTCCATTTGTCTAGCTTGTGACCTCTCTTCCTACCAAACTCCTATGTTCCCCTATTACCTAGTATACCCAGTCACTTTGATTCCTCTCCACCACCATTTCCAAGCTAAGTCTTGCCAGTTTTGTATCCTACATACTTACCAGTCCTCTCCATTCCAGTTCTAGTTCAAATCCTCATGTTTCTCTGACCACCCTGTACAAAATTGTACCACATAATCTACAGTCTTTTACCCTGCTTTGTTAATCTCCATAGCTTTTATTTACTACCCAATCATTGTTTTCCATTCCCTGTCTCCTGCCCCACACCTGTTAGATTCTAAACACCATATGAGCAAGGACTGCAGGTTTATTCATCAATGTAGTCCCAGTGTCCAGAACAGTCTCCGGAACGTAGTAGGCTTTCAAATAATTTTTTAATGCATAAGTCTAAAGCCATCTTTAGCTTCAGCATGATCTTGCGATAAAGATGCCTATTTGATAATATCATTCCATGTTTTAAAAATCCCTTCATTGCACCCCAATAAAACAAAGTTCCTTAATATGGCATCTAAGATGGGTCATCTTGCCTGTGCTTGCGTCTTCATCATCTTTTGCTGTGCTTGCACTCTACTTGTCTCAGTAATAATGAATTGCTGATAGTCCTGGAATTTGCCCAGTTTCATCATTCTTTTTATTCACCAATCTCCTCTGAAGGCCCTCCCAAATTCCCATACCTGTTTTATAGCTAAATGTATGATGAAAATCAATTTTTAGAAGAATATATGTTAAATATAACATGGCAATTTTGACAGAATTAAGTTTTCCAGATCTTATTTAAACCAATATTCATAATCATGGAACTAGTCCTTAAGCTGGAATGGCCATTATAGGTCATCTAGTGAGTGCCTCCTTATTTCACATATGGAGGTACTTCAAATTCATGTCACCTGAATTCTGATTTAGGCTCTGCCACTGAATGATTGGCATGACTTTGAACATATCATATAGGCTTTGTTGGCCTCATCTTTAAGAAAGTAGGTATGAATCATCTCTGGAGTTTAATATACACTGGTTCTACTGAATCAAAGTAAAACTTGTGCCAATAAATATCTCTGAGCTATTTTTGCTAAAGTGAACCATTTGATGTTCACTGTAGGCTTTAATTCTTATAAAAGTCATTTTGGAAAAATGCTGGAGTAGGGAAATCTTTTCAAAGTCTCTTAAGATCTTAATGTGCTTTTGCTATTTAGTTCCAAGATTATTATATACACTGATGGTTAACTGTAAATTCCAACACTTATTTCAAAGTCAATGTTATTTCTGTTAAGTTCATCATCATTACTGAACTATAACTGTTAAATATAAAACAGTATACCTCATGAAAGTTTTCTGCTTCTCGCTCTTTAATTTCAAGATCAATTGCTCTTCTTCTTGCTCGTTCTTCTTCTATCTTTTTCTGTATTTGTTTTTCAGACAATTGTCCAATTTTTTCAAACTTGCTTTTTAGATTTTTAGCTTGAATAGAGCCACTCCTTTTCAATTTGATTAATTCTTCATATTCCCTGCTCAGTTCAAAGGTTTCATTTTCTTCTTCTTCCTTCAAAAAAATTAAGATTTTTATATATTAAATACCAGAAAATTAGTTTGTACAATAAACCATCCAGAAAGTTCACTATTTCTTATTTGAAGCCCAAACTAAATGTTAAATAACTTCCTCCCTAAACACAGTGCCTAAATTTACTAATTAAAAGTAGTGCTACAAATTTAAGACTGTAGATAACATCTTATTTCATTTAAAATGCTATTTAATTAGGGACTATGGCTCAAAACCTCATTAACATTCCATTATAACCTGCTAAAAGTAAAATATGTACACGATTAGCTTTTACTAGGAATTGTAGGAAGACCTTTGTTTAGGGGAAGGTAAAGAAAATTCAAAAAATACTGGGCTAGGAGTCAATAGTTCTGACTCTGATACTGTGTGGCCTTTTGCCTGGTCACTTAGTCCACTGGACATGATTTTTTCATCTCTATATAGAGCCACAGTATCTCTAAAATTCCTCCTGCCTTTGATTTGATGATAGTCAAAGTTAAATATTACTTTTAATAATTCAACTGAATTAAGCATTTCTACAGATATAGTCTGGTAAAATCCCTACATTTTGCTACATATCACTTGTATTCTCAATTTTATATTCTGCCAAGAAAGATGAGTCAACAAAAATTGGGTTTGAATTCTTTATACCATTTTATCTTGAATACCTTATTCAGGTTCCTTTCCCTTGTCTTTTACCTTGTCTTTCCCTTTTCTTTGTATACTTCGTACACTAAACCCTAATGGACTGGTAGAATATTGCAGTTATTCCTGGTACACTTCTCCTGCGGAAGACCTAGAGTTCTAGGCAGAGAGAAAAAAAAAAGGTGGGACTGGGCAGGGTGGGGTGCGGGAAGAGTCACAGTGGATGATGTTGACATGAGGCTTAATTTCTTGGTTCAACAAAGGGAAAAAAGAAAGTTTATTCCTTTATACTACCTCCACTTTTTGGTCTATGTGGGTGAAAATGGGCAACTCGTAAAATACCAGAAATTAACAAAGTTATGACATCACATCATATCACAATGGTTCCCACATCACTCTGATCAAAATTAATGGTTGAACTAATCAGTTATGATCTATGTAATCTTGGAATTGGCATTCTACTTGTTTGAAAACTCCCAGACATAGTGGAGTGAGTCACTTAGCACCAGAATGTCAGACAATTACACACTGCCATATATGAATTAGATTACTTCCCAATAGTATTACTAAAATATATTCTAATTTACTTTGTTTTTCTAGACAGACAATTCATTTTCAGCTTCCTTTATAAAATAAATGCTATTACATTTTTTTAAAATTCTGAGGGTACACCTTGCAGTATTTTCCTACAGCATATTCATTATATTTTCTGATTAACTATATATTTATGCAGCATTTATTGTCTCTTGGTTGACCTGGGCAAGGAAGTAAATATCCCCACAGTCCCATTGCTCCAACCCATGACAAAGAGGCAACTTCTAAGAGATTGCGACCTCTGTGAAGGAACCCACTCGGTTCCTTGATCAGGAGTTGGCAAGGGGCCCCCACCAAGTCACCTACCAAACATGCCATATCACTGCTGATCCTACTTAGGCTGGGAAAGCCACTGCTCGCCTCACCCCAAGTAATGGGGTTGTGCACTCATCCCCGACACTGTTGTTCGTGTAGCTGCTAGGGCTCCCTGCCCAGCCGGAGGCCAAGGGTGATGGTGGAATGCTGGCCTCCTCCCTCACCCTCCCCACTTCTGCCTATGCAACTGGTTGGCCATCCAGATGGAGGGAAGCAGTGTTCAGGGTTAGGAAGGCGAAGGTTAGACAGGGTCCCAGGACATCAGGAGGTAGGAAGAGGGCTGCTGAGAGCCCACCATGAGGAAGCACGGAGACGTCACATGGAGTGGGTGAGCCAAGGCTCCGAGACTCCAGCGCAGGCTCCACTGTTCAACCAACTTTCAATTACAACACACACAAGTTCAAAGATAAACTTATTTAAAATTTCAAAGGCAACCTCAGAGCACTAAATCCTGTGTCCCTTCTGAGCATGGGGTCCTGTGAGGGCACAAGTTGCATGTTCATGAAGCTGGCCCTGTACAGTCTATAGGTATGTATGTGTATATATATATTCTTAAAATTATTTATTTATTTATTTTGGCTGTGTTGGGTCTTTGTTGCTGTGTGAGGGCTTTCTCTAGTTGCGGCGAGTGGGGGCTGCTCTTCGTTGCGGTGCGCGGGCTTCTCATTGTGGCTTCTCTTGTTGTGGAGCACAGGATCTAGGCGCGCGGGATTCAGTAGTTGCGGCACACAGGCTTCAGTAGTTGTGGCTCGCGGGCTCTGAAGCGCAGGCTCAGTAGTTGTGGCGCACAGGCTTAGTTGCTCCGCAGCATGTGGGATCTTCCCGGACCAGGGCTCGAACCCGTGTCCCCTGCATTGGCAGGCTGATTCTTAACCACTACACCACCAGGGAAGTCCCTATATATGTATTTTTACAATTCATTTCAATGCTGGTGAAACCATACTAAGGTATTTAATAGTATCAAAATTCTATCTTAGAATAATTTAATAAAATACAGGCATAACTTGGAGATATTGGGAATTCAATTCCAGACCACTGTAATAAAGCGAATATCTTAATAAAGTGAGTCATGAATTTTTTGGTTTCCCAGTGCATATAAAAGTTATGTTTACACTATAGTCTATTAAGTGTGCAATAACATTATGTCTAAAAAAATAATGTACATACCTTAACTTTAAAATATTGCTAAAAACTGCTAACCATCACCTGAGCCTTCAGTGAGTTGTAATCTTTTTGCTGTTGGACAGTCTTTCCTCAGTGTTGATGGCTGCTGACTGATCAGGGTGTTAATTGCTGAGGCTGGGGCGGCTGTGGCAGTTTCTTAAAATAAGACAACAATGAAGTTTGCTGCATCAATTGACTCTTTCTTTTGTGAACGACGTCTCTGTAGCTTGCAATGCTCTTTGAGAGCATTGTACCCGCTGTAGAATTTCTTTCAAAATTGGAGTCAGTCTTCTAAAACTTTGCTGGTGCTTTATCAACTAAGTTTATGTAATATTCTAAATCCTTTGCTGTCATTTTAACAATCTTCACAGCACCTTCACCAGGAGTAGCTTCCTCATCTCCCAGCCTTCATAGAACTGAAGAGAGTTAGGGCCTTGCTGTGAAGTGTTAAAATCACTTTCTTTTTTCATCCATAAGAAGCAACTCCTCATTCATTAGTTTTATCATGAGATTGCAGCAATTCATTCACATCTTCAGACTCCACTTCTAATTCTACTTCTCTTGCTATTTCCACATCTGCACTTACTTCCTCCACTGAAGCCTTGAACTCCTCAAAGTCATCCATGAGGGTTGAAATCAACTTTTGCTAAACTCCTGTGAATTTGATATTTTGACCTCTTCCCGTGAATCACAAATATTCTTAATGGTACCTGGAATGTTGAATCCTTTCCAGAAGGTTTTTAATTGATTTTGTCCATATCCATCAGAGGAATCACGATCTATGGCAGCTATAGCCTTACAAAACGTATGTCTTCAATAATAAGACTTGAAAGTAGAAATTACTTCTTGATCCATGGGCTGCAGAATGGATTCTGTGCTAGCAGGCATGAAAACAACATTAATATCGTCACAAATCTCCATCACAGAGCTCTTGGGTGATCAGGTGCACTATTTTTTTTTAACATCTTTATTGGAATATAACTGCTTTACAATGGTGTGTTAGTTTCTGCTTTATAACAAAGTGAATTAGATATACATACATCCCCATATCTCCTCCCTCCTGCGTCTCCCTCCCACCATCCCTATCCGACCCCTCTAGGTGGTCACAAAGCACGGAGCTGATCTCCCTGTGCTATGCTGTTCCTTCCCACTAGCTATCTACTTTACATTAGGCAGTATACATAAGTCCATGCCACTCTCTCACTTCGTCCCAGCTTACCCTTCCCCCTCCGCGTGTCCTCAAGTCCATTCTCTACGTCAGCGTCTTTATTCCTGTCCTGCCCGTAAATTCTTCATAACCTTTTTTTTTCTTTTAGATTCCATACATATGTGTTAACAGATGGTATTTGTTTTTCTCTTTCTGACTTACTTCACTCTGTATGACAGACTGTAGGTCCATCCACCTCACTACAAATAACTCAATTTTGTTTCTTTTTATGGCTAAGTAATATTCCATTGTATATATGTGCCACATCTTTATCCATTCATCAGTTGATGGACGCTTAGGTTGCTTCCATGTCCTGGCTATTGTAAATAGAGCTGCAATGAACATTATGGTACATGACTCTTTTTGAATTATGGTTTTATTGGGGTATATGCCCAGTAGTGGGATTGCTGGGTCGTATGTTAGTTCTATTTGTAGTTTTTTAAGGAACCTCCATACTGTTTCCATAGTGGCTGTATCAATTTACATTCCCACCAACAGTGCAAGAGGGTTTCCTTTTCTCCACACCCTCTCCAGCATTTATTGTTTGTAGATTTTTTGATGATGGCCATTCTAACCAGTGTGAGATGATACCTCATTGTAGTTTTGATTTGCATTTCTCTAATGATTACTGATGTTGAGCATTCTTTCATGTGTTTGTTGGCAATCTATATATCTTCTTCGGAGAAATGTCTATTTACGTCTTCTGCCCATTTTTGGATTGGATTGATTGCTTTTTTGATATTGAGCTGGATGAGCTGCTTGTAAATTTTGGAGATTAATCCTTTGTCAGTTGCTTCGTTTGCAAATATTTTCCCCCATTCTGAGGGTTGTCTTTTCGTCTTGTTTATAGTTTCCTTTGCTGTGCAAAAGCTTTTAAGTTTCATTAGGTCCCATTTGTTTATTTTTGTTTTTATTTCCATTTCTCTAGGAGGTGGGTCAAAAAGGATCTTGCTGTGATTTATGTCATAGAGTGTTCGGCCTATGTTTTCCTCTAAGAGTTTGATAGTATCTGGCCTTACATTTAGGTCTTTATTCCATTTTGAGTTTATTTTTGTGTATGGTGTTAGGGAGTGTTCTAATTTCATTCTTTTACATGTAGCTGTCCAGTTTTCCCAGAACCACTTATTGAAGAGGCTGTCTTTTCTCCATTGTATATTCTTGCTGCCTTTGTCAAAGATAAGGTGACCAGAGGTGCGTGGGTTTATCTCTGGGCTTTCTATCCTGTTCCATTGATCTATATTTCTGTTTTTGTGCCAGTACCATACTGTCTCGATTACAGTAGCTTTGTAGTATAGTCTGATGTCAGGGAGCCTGATTCCTCCAGCTCCGTTTTTCTTTCTCAAGATTACTTTGTCTATTCAGGGTCTTTTGTGTTACCATACAAATTGTGAAATTTTTTGTTCTAGTTCTGTGAAAAATGCCAGTGGTAGTTTGATAGGGACTGCATTGAATCTGTAGATTGCTTTGGGTAGTATAGTCATTTTCACAATGTTGATTCTTCCAGTCCAAAAACATGGTATATCTCTCCATCTGTTTGTATCATCTTTAATTTCTTTCATCAGTGTCTTATAGTTTTCTGCATACAGGTCTTTTGTCTCCTTGGGTGGGTTTATTCCTAGGTATTTTATTCTTTTTGCAGTGGTAAATGGGAGTGTTTCCTTAATTTCTCTGTGAGATTTTTCATCATTAGTGTATAGGAATGCCAGAGATTTCTGTGTATTAATTTGGTATCCTGCTACTTTACCAAATTCATTGATTAGCTCTAGTAGTTTTCTGGTAGCATCTCTAGGATTCTCTATGTTTAGCATCATGTCATCTGCAAACAGTGACAGGTTTACTTTTCTTTTCCGATTTGGATTCCTTTTATTTATTTTTCTTCTCTGATTGCTGTGGGTAAAACTTCCAAAACTATGTTGAATAACAGTGGTGAGAGTGGGCAACCTTGTCTTGTTCCTGATCTTAGTGGAAATGGTTTCAGTTTTTCACCATTGAGAACAATGTTGGCTGTGGGTTTGTCATATGTGGCCTTTATTATGTTGAGATAAGTTCCCTCTATGCCTACTTTCTGGAGGGTTTTTATCATAAACAGGTACTTAATTTTGTCAAAAGCTTTTTCTACATCTATTGAGATGATCATATGGTTTTCATTCTTCAGTTTGTTAGTATGGTGTATCACATTGATTGGTTTGCGTATATTGAAGAATCCTTGCATTCCTAGGATAAACCCCACTTGATCAATGGTGTATGATCCTTTTAATGTGCTGTTGGATTCTGTTTGCTAGTATTTTGTTGAGGATTTTTGCATCTATGTTCATCAGTGATATTGGCCTGTAGTTTTCTTTCTTTGTGACATCTTTGTCTGGTTTTGGTATCAGGGTGATAGTGGCCTTGTAGAATGAGTTTGGGAGTGTTCCTCCCTCTGCTATATTTTGGAAGAGTTTGAGAAGGATAGGTGTTGGCTCTTCTCTAAATGTTTGATAGAATTCGCCTGTGAAGCCATTTGGTCCTGGGCTTTTGTTTGTTTGAAGACTTTTAATCACAGTCTCAATTTCAGTGCTTGTGATTGGTCTGTTCATATTTTCTATTTCTTCCTGGTTCAGTCTCGGAAGGTTGTGCTTTTCTAAGAATTTGTCCATTTATTCCCAGTTGTCCATTTTATTAGCATATAGTTGCTTGTAGTAATCTCTCATGATCCTTTGTATTTCTGCAGTGTCATTTGTTACATCTCTTTTTTTCTTTTTTTTCCCCATACGCAGGCCTCTCACCACTGTGGCCCTTCCCGCTGCGGAGCACAGCTTCCGGATGCGCAGGCTCAGTGGCCATGGCTCATGGGCCCAGCTGCTCCACCGCACGCGGGATCCTCCCGGACCGGGGCACGAACCCGCATCCCCTGCATTGGCAGGTGGACTCTCAACCACTGCACCACCACGGAAGCCCTCATTTTTCATTTCTAATTCTATTGATTTGAGTCTTCTCCCTTTTTTTCTTGATGAATCTGGCTAATGGTTTATTAATTTTGTTTATCTTCTCAAAGAACCAGCTTTTAGTTTTATTGATCTTTGCTATTGTTTCCTTCATTTATTTCTGATCTTCATGTTTCCTTCATTTATTTCTGATCTTCTGATCTTCATGATTTCTTTCCTTCTGCTAACTTTGGCGTTTTTTTCTTCTTTCTCTAATTGCATTAGGTGTAAGGTTAGGTTGTTTATTTGAGATGTTTCTTGTTTCTTAAGGTAGGATTGTATTGCTATAAACTTCCCTCTTAGAACTGCTTTTGTTGCATCCCATAGGTTTTGGGTTGTTGGCTTTCATTGTCATTTGTTTCTAGGTATTCTTTGATATTGTCTTTGATTTTTTCAGTGATCTCTTGGTTATTAAGTAGTGTATTGTTTAGCCTCCATGTGTTTGTATTTTTTACAGAGTTTTTCCTCTAATTGATATCTAGTCTCATAGCATGTGGTCGGAAAAGATACTTTATACGATTTCAGTTTTCTTAAATTTTCTTAAGGCTTGATTTGTGACCCAAGATATGACCTATCCTGGAGAATGTTCCATGAGCACTTGAGAAGAAAGTGTATTCTGTTGTTTTTGGATGGAATGTCCAATAAATATCAATTAAGTCCATCTTGTTTAATGTATCATTTAAAGCTTGTGTTTCCTTATTTATTTTCATTTTGGATGATCTGTCCATTGGTGAAAGTGGGGTGTTAAAGTCCCCTACTATGATTGTGTTACTGTAGATTTTCCCTTTTATGGCTGTTAGCCTTTGCCTTATGTAGTGAGGTGCTCCTATGTTGGGTGCATAAATATTTACAATTGTTACATCTTCTTCTTGGATTGATCCCTTGATCATTATGTAATGTCCTTTACTATCTCTTGTAATAGTCTTTATTTTAAAGTTTATTTTTTCTGATATGAGAATTGCTACTCCAGCTTCCTTTTGATTTCCATTTGCATGGAATATCTTTTTCCATCCCCTAACTTTCAGTCTGTATGTGTCCTTAGGTCTGAAGTGGGTCTCTTGTTGACAGCATATATATGGGTCTTGTTTTTGTATCCATTCAGCCAGTCTGAGTCTTTTGGTTGGAGCATTTAATCCATTTACATTTAAGGTAATTATCGATATGTATGTTCCTATTACCATTTTCTTAATTGTTTTGGGTTTGTTATTGTATATCTTTTCCTTTTCTTGTGTTTCCTGCCTAGAGAAGTTTCTTTCAGGTGCACTATTAATGAGCAGTAATATTTTAAAGGAATCATTTTTTCTGAGCAGTAGGTCTTAACAGTGGGCTTTAAATATTCAGTAACCAGGTTGTGAATAGATTGCTATATCTAGGTTCTCTGTTCCATTTATAGAGCACTGGCAGAGTAGATTTAGCAGAATTCTCAAGGACCCTAGGATTTTCAGAATGGTAAATAAGCATTGGCTTCAACTTAAAGTCACCAGCTATGTTTTAGCCTATAACAAGAGAGTCAGCCTGTCTTTTGAAGCTTTGAAGCCAGACATTGACTTCTCCTCTCTAGCTAAAAAAGTCCTAGATGGCATCTTCTTCCAATACAAGCCTGTTTGTCTACATTGAAAATCTATTGTTTAGTGTAGCCACCTTCGTTTTGATTATCTTAGATCTTCTGCATAACTTCTGCAGCCTCTACAACAGCACTTGCTGTTTCATCTTGCACTTTTTTGTTATGGAGGTGGCTTCTTTCCTTAAACTTCAAGAAGCAACCTCTGGTAGCTTCAGACTTTTCTTCTGCAGCTTCCTCATCTCTCAGTCTTCATAGAATTGAAGAGAGTTAGGGCCTTGCTCTGGAGTAGGCTTTGGCTTAAGGGAATGTTGTGGCTTATGTGACCTTCTATCCAGACCACTAAAACTTTTTCCACATCGACAGTAAGGCTGTTCCACTTTCTTATCATTTGTGTGTTCACTGGAGTAGCACTTTTAATTTCCTTCAAGAACTTTTCCTTTGCATTCACATCTTGGCTTATGGTTTGGCCCAAGAGGCCTAGATTTTGGCCTATCTCAGCTTTCGACGTTCCTTCCTCACTAAGCTTAATCTTGCTAGCTTAATTTAAAGTGAGACAAATCGCTTCTTGGCCAAGTGTAAAGTGAGAGATGTGCGACTCTTACCTTCACTTAAACACTCAGAGACCATTAATTGGCCTAATTTCAATACTACTGTGTAAGGGAACAGGTAGGCCCGAAGAGAGGGAAAGAGATGGGCAAACAGCCAGTCAGTGAAGCAGTCAGAACATACACACTTATCGATGAAGTTTACCATCTTATATGGGAGCAGTTTGTGGTGCCCCCAAACAACTACAATAGTAAGAATGAAGATCACTGATCACAGATCACCATAACAAATATAATAATAATGAAAAAGTTTGAAATATTGAGAGAATTACCAAAATGTGACACAGAGACACAAAGTGAGCAAATGCAGTTGGAAAAATGGTGGCAACAGACTTGCTCCATGCAGGGTTGCCACAGACCTTCAATTTGTAAAAAGTGCAGTACCTGCAAAGTGCAATAAAGTGAAGCACAATGAAATGCAGTATGCCTGTAAAATTATTCAAAGACTTGCCAAACTGATGTTCCTATTAGCATCCATGGTACTCTTATAGTTTTTTCTTATTTTGATTACCAGCTTAATTCTGTTTCAAGGAAAATAAGTATAACTGGGTATATTAAGTACTCTAGAGTGACAGTTCTCAATCATGGTGTAATCTCACACAATTGTGAGGTATATAGGAAGAAATATTTACTTACATACTACAGTAATATCTCAGTCACTTGGAATCTCATATATTTTTCAAACTAGCAAGAAGGAGTAGAGTTATAGCAGGCTGGAAAGGTACACTCAACTATGCTGAAACTTGTACCACGTGCCTCATAGGAGTGTCCTTTATGTAAAAATAATACTTAGATAGTTATTGTAAGGTAATGCATGTGAAATACTGAGATTACTAAATATTTGTGGAATAAAAATGGACACTTCTTAAAGTCTTACCTCTCCCATTTCTTGTCTCAGTTGTTCAAATTCCTGTTTTTCCATCTCTAGCTTATGCTTCCGTTCCTCCTCTGTTCGTCGTCTTTCTTCTTCCATTTTTTGTTTTAATAATTCTTCAAAATTAATTTCTAGTTTTCCAGGTGTAAGAGATTCTTGAGAGATTGTTTTATACATCTCTGGGGAGTCATCATCTACTACCTATTTAAAATAATTCTTTTATCACTCTTGCCAGAGCTATACATACTACAAAGGGAATATTTCTTGAATAGAAAGGTTTCACATTGAACTAAAAACCAAAAATTCTCTTTAAAAGTATAAAACAATAAACAAGAAGGCATTATTAGAAACTGTAAGACTAAAGTATTTTGTAGTAACAGAGAAAATGGTGACCATAAAGTCTCCATTCCAGTGAACACAAATAAATACTTTGACTTTATACTATGAGTAATTTGAATTAGACATTAAGATGTTCTAACAACAAAACTTTTTTTAATTAAAAAAATTAAAAAGATGTTCTAATATTGGGAAAATGTTTTAATTGGATTAAAATGAACCTCCATTCTGGTAATTAAAATAGAGCATTTCAGTTAAATCATGGTTTTTACCTGAATGAGTTAGATATCATGACCCCTTCATAATCAGGCAAAAATCAGTTAATGCTGTGATTTTACTGTGCTGATTTATTTACTGTCAGGCTAATTAAAAATAAATAATAATAGTTAATACTTATAGCTGCCAGGTACAATTCTAAGCACTTTACGTGTATTGACTTATTTTTCTGTAACCCTGTGAAGTAGGTGTTATTAATATCCCCATTTTATAGATGAGGAAACTGAGGCACTAAAAAGTAACTTGTCCAAAGTCAACACAAATACTATGTGGAAAAGGTGAAATTCCAAACTTTAAAAGTCTTTCTAATAAAATTATAAATAACTATTTAGACTACCTCTTTGTAATTTCATGAATTACATGTCTAACTGCCATTTAGTTATGACCTTGGGCAAGTTACATAGCCTCTCTAAATCTGAGTTTCCTTATCTGTGACAACTTTCATAGAGTTGTCATGAGAATTACATAAAGTTTGGAAACACTTTGCAGTGTGTCTGACACTATGGTAAGCTCCTAAATAGCAGTTTTATTATTACAATATCATTCCCTGTATATAGGCAATCTCTAAATTGCAAATAGAAACTCTGCCTTTAAATCATTGACTTGGAATACATTTTGCCATGAAAAGCAATGACCTAATTCTAACCCCTGAAAGTATATACATAAACCTCTCACTTGAATTGTGTCCCTGTGGCTGAACTAGACACAGGAGTAAGAGAGGTAAAGAGTAATTATTATTTGTTCCAAGTTTTATATATGACAGGCTTTACCACAGAACCAGTTCAACTCAGAAATAATGTTTATATGGTCTCAAAATCCACAGATTGCCAAAAAATTTTTTATTAATATATGAGTTAACTGAGCAATAATATGAAATGACAATACTTGGCCCTAGGTAAGAAAACAACATAAATGAAGGAAAAAGTTTCTCTTTCCTTTCCTGATATAGAAATGTCTTTAGGAAACCAGAGTCTTGGTTTAATGCCATTTTCCTTCCCTGCACTTTTTCCACTAGTGAGTCATGATAAAACAGCAGATTTGGCCTAAAAATCTGCTCCCAGGACTAGATTTCCTGATCTTCACAGCTACTTCTTATCTACCACTTCTGAACCAGCTGATTCTCCAGAAATTAAGTGCTCTCAGAATGTTTGTAGGGTTTCTGTGTAGAAACCATTTGTGAATCAAGGATTACCTAATAAGATAGTATTAATATCACTTATTCCAACTTAGCCATAAAAAAGAACAAAATAATGCCATTTGCAGCAACATGGATGTAACTACAGATTATCATACTAAGTGAAGTCAGAAAGAGAAAGACAAATACCATATTTGTGGAATCTAAAATATGGCTCAAATGAACCTATCTACAAAACAGAAACAGACTCACAGACATAGAGAACAGACTTGTGGTTGCCAAGGGGGAGGTGGGTGGGGGAGGGAAGGACTGGGAGTGTGGAATTAGCAGATGTGAACTATTATATATAGGATGGATAAACAACAAGGTCCTACTGTATAGCACAGGGAACTATATTCAATATCCTGTGATAAGCCATAATGGAAAGGAATATTAAAAAGAAGAATGTATAAATGTGTATAACTGAGTCACTATGCTGTAGAGCAGAGATTGGCACAGCATTGTAAATCAACTCTACTTCAATAAAAAATAATAATAAAATAAATCACTTATTCCACAAGCATTTACAGGAAGTTTGTTACACTAGAATGCACTGTGCCATGTGCTTTTTTTTTCCTAAGTCCAAGCACCATCTTTTTCTTTTTTTTTGGCTGCATTGGGTCTTCGTTGCTGTGCGTGGGCATCCTCTAGTTGTGGTGAGCAGGGGCTACTCTTCGTTGCGGTGAGCGGGCTACTCATTGCAGTGGCTCCTCTTGTTGCAGAGCATGGGCTCTAGGCATGTGGGCTTCCTTAGTTGCAGCACATGGGCTCAGTAGTTGCCACACGCGGGCCCTAGAGTGCGCGGGCTTCAGTGAAGTCCCGTGTCATGTGCTTGATGTGGTCTTAGCCTCACTGAGTGAGGAAGATGGCCATAAGCCACAACAATACAGCGCTAGTGCTATGCTAGGGGAGCACTAAATGCTCTAAGAATACATGAAAGGAACACCTTTCTGGAACTTGTATTAGCAGGAAAGGCTTCCAGAGGAAATGGAATATATGAATAGGAGATAGCTCAGCACAGGGAAAAGAGAGAGAGACACGTTTCATATAGCATTTATGAAGTTCCAGAGATGAGAGCATAGCGTTTTGAAGAAATGGAAAGAAATTTAGTATGTCTGGAACAAACATGGCAGATTAAGGAAGACTCAAGAGGGACTTCCTTGGTGGCGCAGTGGTTAAGAATCTGCCTGCCAATGCAGGGGACATGGGTTCGAGCCCTGGTCCAGGAAGATCCCACATGCCATGGAGCAACTAAGCCTGTGCGCCACAACTACTGAGCCTGCGCTCTAGAGCCTGCGAGCCACAACTACTGAAGCCCGTGTGCCTAGAGCCCGTGCTCTGCAACAAGAGAAGCCACCGCAATGAGAAGCCCGCTCACCGCAACAAAGAGTAGCCCCCACTCGCCGCAACTAGAAAAAGCCTGCATGCAGCAACAAAGACCCAATGCAGCCAAAAATAAATAAATATATTTATTTAAAAAAAAAAAAGGAAGAATCAAGAAATGAAACTGGAGAAAATACTAGGGCAAGATTATAAAGAAATTTATTTAAAAATTTTAGTGTTTGGATTTTTGTTTTAAGGGACGTGGAAAATTTTTAAGCAAAATAGTAACAATCAAATGTACTTTTTTTTTTTTTTTTTAAGAAAGACCACTTCTGGCTTTATAGGAAAGAATGGATTATAGGCAAGAAAGCAAATTAATTAGGAGTTGGCCTCAGGCAAGGGATAACAGTGACCTGCATTATAGTAGTGATAGTGGGAAATGGGGGAAAACTGATCAATTTTTAGAGTGATATAGGAAATGAGACAGTGAATGACTGGATGTGAGGCATGAACGAGAGGTGGAAGTGCTTAAGGCCCACAGGTTTCTGATTTGAGCATCTGGGTGGGTGATGAAGCCAAATAAACACTTGGATATATCTGTCTGAAGCTCACCCAGACACAGGAAGAAAACCAGGTCATGATATCATCGAAGCCAATTAAAATGTTTCAGGAAGGGGATGCAGCGTTCACATGTTAACTTACTTAAAAAAAAGTTTGTCAGGTAACTGTACATTTAACAAACATTGAAATGGTATAGGGGCTTCCCTGGATTCTGTGGTTAAGAATCCGCCTGCCAATGCAGGGGACACGGGTTTGACCCCTCGTCCGGGAAGATCCCACATGCCCCAGAGCAACTAAGCCCATGCTCCACAACTACTGAGCCTATGCTCTAGGGCCCGCGAGCGAGAACTACTGAAGCCCATGTGCCTAGAGCCCGTGCTCCACAACAAGAAAAGCCACCACAGTGAGAAGCCCGTGTAGAGTAGCCTCTGATCTCCACAACTAGAGAAAGCTCGTGCACAGCAATGAAGACCCAACGCAGCCAAAATAAATAAATAAATATTTTAAAAATGGTATAAGAAGTATAACTTTGTAACAGAGTTAAGTTTAGTAGCAATATCCAGAGTGATGGTAAGCATTTTGGAGAGTTAACTAATTGTGATTAAATGGCTTTGATCATTTAATACATCCCAGATGGGATGGATACTGGAAAGAAAGGAGGAAAAGAAGGAAGGAGTGAGGGAGGGAAGGAGAAGAGAATGGAGAGGAGGGAAGGAAAGGTGGGGGTAGGAACCCCGCTCCCTCCTCGCTTAGATACTTAGTTCTGGAAAACATGCCTTCCCAGAGAAGGAAGATAACATACACTCCTCTATGCTAGGCATAGCAATTTAATCAGAAACTTTTCAACACTATAATGAAGCAAACACCTTTAACTGACAGTGTTATGCCATAGAAGACTTTAATAACTTATATGCCATCCCTACTTTTGGCATATAAGTTCAGAAATAATAGGGTATTCCCCAAAGTTGAATGATTTCTCATACTGAATCCCAATGGCCTCCTCCAGTCACATTCTATCTTACCATGCTTCTCCTTGCTTCAGCAAATGCCTTCTTTTCTTCCTCTATTCTTCTTCTGGCTTCTTCTTCTGCTTTCCTTTTTTCATCTTCTCTCCTTTGTCTTTCTATTTCTTCAAAACTGAGTTTGAGTTTACCAGGGCGGTACCCTTTAAAAATGTTTTCTGTGTCTTGGTTTTCCTCCTCTTCATTTACCTAACGAAGAAACAACTCACTACTAAAAACTGGGATTAATCAAAGACAGGAATGAATTATAAATCAAAAGGCACAGACTCAGCCACCTTACACAGAAATGTTTCTTTGTTCTAGTATTCTTGACCAAAATCCCCTTCCTTTATAACGTCTCATATGATTTAAAAAATCAAATTTGGAAAAATTCCAAATAAAGATGTACTCAAGTTAAATAAAACTTCTCAAGCAAGTCAAATTTTTAAATGGATAAGATTAATTGTTTAAAATTCTTAAGGAATCATTTAAAAGTTTTACTAAACATTAACTCTCCCAGAACAAACATAAAACACGTGTGTGGACTTACTAGAGAAAGGACTTGAGGACACAGCGAGGGGGAAGGGTAAGCTGGGACGAAGTGAGAGAGTAGCATGGACATATATACACTACCAAACGTAAAATAGATAGCTAGTGGGAAGCAGCCGCATAGCACAGGAAGATCAGCTCGGTGCTTTGTGACCACCTGGAGGGGTGGGATAGGGAGGGTGGGAGGGAGGGAGACGCAAGAGGGAAGAGATATGGGAACATATATGTATAACTGATTCACTTTGTTATAAAGCAGAAACTAACACACCATTGTAAAGCAATTATACTCCAATAAAGATGTTAAAATAAATAAATAAATAAATAAAAGTAACACCAACACACAGATGTGGGTCCTACTCAGTTTAAGATATGGAATGTTTCCAGTACTCTTGAAGGTCTTTGTGTATCCTTCAAGAGCCCATCCACCTTTTGCTGGCTTTTCAGAGGAAACTAATATGCTTAATTTTGTGTTTGTTATTCTTTTGCTTTGTTTGAATATGTAAAAATTTGTTCAGTGTTGCAGCTTTTGAATTTTACATATAAGAAATTATACTGTACGTGGTCCTATTGACTTACAGTTTTGCTGAATCTTGTAGTTTTTTGTGAGATTTATCTGTGTCGATGGGGCTACCTGTAGTTAATTATTTTCTATTGCTGTATAGTATTTCATTGATTAAAAATTCTACAATTTATCTTCCAAAAAAAATAAAAGTGTGTGTGTGTGTACTTAAATTGAGGTTCAAGTATACACACACTGAGTCTCTTACATAATAAAATAAAGTTCTCATTCTGTAATTTTCATGGATTTTTTTTACTATGAACTACGGTTATTAAATGTATAAAACATTATCTGGAACTATTTTACATACAATTCAAATTTTATGATTTTATAATTAAAATTCTAATGTAATGCTAATTAAATTAATTAAATACTCACTGAAATTTATGATTTGATTAATTAATGATATTTCTATGTCTTTTCACTAGATTGACCACCAGTGATATCTAAAATGTGTAGGTATTATCCAACTGTAACTACCCAAAATATTGGGTTGGCCAAAAAGTTTGTTTGGGTTTTTCCATTACATTTTACAGAAAAACCCAAACGAAATTTGGCCAACCCAATAACAACATTTTCAAACAAACATCTAGAAAATTAAAATTTTGGAGATATAGACCTCAGAACATCATTAATGAAAACTGATCAAGAAAGTCTGAAAGTTTAAAAAATTACATATGTTCCATTCTTAAATTCTTGCAATAAGATTTGGAATCAGTGTTTTCTTATTTCAATTTTATTTTTTGTTGTTAAATCTGTTACTATAATAATAGCAGTTAACATTTTTAAAGCACGTATTGGGAATTCCCTGGCGGTTTAGTGGTTGGGACTCCACGCTTCCATTGCAGGAGGCATGGGTTCAATCCCTGGTCAGGGAACTAAGATCCCAAAAGCTGTGCTGCGAGGTCAAAAATAATAATAATAAAAAGATAAAAATACATAATAAATAAATAAATGAAACACTTATTATATGCCAAACACTACTCTAACTGCTTTCTATATTAACTCATTTAATGATTTAAGAAGTAGGCACAATTATTTTCACCATTTTACAAATGAGGAAACTAAGATGTAGAGAGGTTCAATAACTTGTCCATGGGTACACAATAAAGGTTAGATATCTGAATCCAGGCAGTCTGGCTCCAAAATCCATGCTCTTAAGCACTTAGATTATATACATTACACATATATATATATCTATATATATATTCAGTATATATATATATATATATATATATATACTGACACTAAGTGTACACTTATGATTAGACTTGAAAGTGCGCTGCACCATGCTATTAAACACATTGCAGGCTGAGCTAACAGATGAAGAGAAATTAGATTTGTTGAATAATTATTTTGTATGTTTACAACAATTTATAAAAATAAAAATTTAAGGCATATTAGGTAAAATATCCCAAAATGAAAGCTAGAAAATAATATAAATGCATGTTATATATGGAATATGTATACAGTTTCAAAATCAGACCCTTGTATATAGAAAATCTCCTTAAATTTATAGCAATGAACCTTATCTAAAGCCAGCTACCTCCCTTAATATTAAATGTTTTATATATAACATTTGTATAACATATTATACATATAATATATAATTTGTATAATATAATATATAAATGTTATGTATCATAATATAATTATGTATTATAATATCATATATAAATGTTACATATATATCAGTTTGTTTTACCATTTGCCGCCTTGCTTCTTCAAAAGCACGCCTCTCTTCTTCTAAACGTTTTCTTGCTTCCTCCTCAGCTTGCTTCCTTCGGTTTTCTTGTCTTTGTCTTTCCAATTCTTCAAAAGTCAGTTTCAATTTTCCAGGAGAAAGTGACTCTTTCTTTGCCTCACTTTCCAGTTCATCGTCCTAAGAAAACATAATGAAAACCTGTTAATCATAAAGGGATATGCTGCTAACCAACTTAACTGCTTTTATTTGTTCTTTATTAAAAAAAATTACCATGACCAATGAAAGACACTTTGCTTCCTTGAGAGACCGACGTTGTTCTTCATATCTTATATCTTCTTCATACTTGACCCTTTCCTTTTCTTCTTGTTCTTTTTCTAGATCTTCGAAATTCTTTTTCATTTTTCCAGATGTTTTGTGTGATTTGACAGGTACCACTGTTACAAGCAGTGAATCATCTCCTTCCTAATTTATAAAATAGATAATTAGCATATTTCTTCCTAATCAAAATTTAGGTTTCATGGGACTTCCATCATTGGTGAATTTCATTACATTGCCATCAATGTTATGAAGAACAAAAATTAATATTTTTAACAGATTTCTATTAAATAGCTCTTTCTCTGAATTCATTGTACATGATGAGTCAATCTTATTGAAATCCACTGCTGACAGGGTTCAAGAAGCATCTTTTTTCCTAGAAGATGGTGTTAATACAGCTGTTTGGATAAAATTGCGTGAAATTATCTGAATTTCACTATCCGTGCACTCATCCCACAAAAGGTAATGTGCATGTGAGCATACTCTAAATCAATTTGATGGTGGATGGCTTCAGTTTAAACACACAAGAAAGGTTTCTGTGTTTGATTTTTCTCTCCATGCAAGTTTTTAAATACTTAATAAAACTAACATTTTAGCAAGGAAAAAACCTCCAGTATTTCCAAGTGATTTAGAAAACATTTATATTATGGACAAAACTCTTTGGCCTTTGGTCCTATTCAAATATTCTTAAACTTGTTTTTAAAATCCATTTTAATTAGTTCTATTACATCATCTGTTACTGCCTTTGAACTTTTTTCAAAAACAAAGAATTGTAATATGTAACACATGCCCCCTAAAATAAAACTGCTTCCAATTTATGTGGCTGTAGTTTTAGGCACACCATCAAATTGATTGGTCTTTAACTTTCTCTGTTAGATAAAAAGAGATAACTAAAATTTTTGTGGTTTGAACATTCCTTCATGGTAATAGATTCTGTACTCTCTGCTAGTATGTGATAAGCAAAACAAACTATCAGGAACTCTGAGGAAAGAAGACAGATATAAAAAGAAAACTGCCTTTTTCAAATGTTAGCTTTCAACAATCTCAACTATTAGTAACAGTTCAAGAAATATACAGCCTTGGCAGAGTATCTCAAATTGAGACTTATGTCTCTAACCATGAAAGCAAAAACATACTTTTCTTTAAAAACACTAAGCTATAGCGTTTGAAAGTGCAAAAGTATGATCTTGCTTTGCAAAATATTTTTGTCCTTGTTGTTGTTGCTATATTTATAATTAAAAAACTCTTAAGTTTTTTAATTGAAAGATTATTTGTGAATCAGATAATTTTAGGTGAATGTTTCATTAAAGGAAATGTCCATTTACCTCTGATGCTGATTCAGTTCCCGTATTGTTTATGTCCTCAATCTATTGGATAAGAATTTTATATCATTACATTACATCCGATTTCTGCTTTTTGTTTTAAACATACAACTGAAAAGTATTAGTTGTGATTTATGGTAAATTTCAAAATTTAGCATTCTGAAGTATTTTTATGTTGCTCCAAATTAGCCAATTATGTCCTTTTAAATAGAGGTTAAACTTTATATTAATTTTTGCATTTTGATATCACTATCTAGGGAACAACATATTAAGAAAAAATTAAAATAAAGCCTACCTTTGTAATTCTGGAATTTGAATAATGGACCAAACTCTTATAATCTGGCTGTGAGCTTACAACCAGCAGTTATTAATTAAGCAATTTAAATGGAGCTACAGAAACATTTCCCCATTCTCTCTCTGCCACAGCGAAAGGAAAACCTATCATTAGCAATCAGATAATCATCATGACTATATTTTATAATATAAATAGATGGCAAAAATATAATTGACACAATAATAAAGCACAGTAAAAGGTGTAGGCTTTCACATGGCTAGTGTAGAAGGGAAAATAATTCTGGAAATCATAATTGTTTACTCTATATTTTGACAGATCTAGGTAGGAAAGGCCCTCATTCAAAAAGAGGGAGCTCAATTTGGCCATTAAGATTGGCTTGAGGGGCAGGCTAATGTACAATACATAACAGAGTGAGAAATGACAGAAAGGTGATTTAAATAACACAATGTTTGAGATCTCAGGAAAAGGAGACATAAGCAACAGGAAAATGGAAACAGTTAGAAAGTAAAAATTCAGATTGTTTATTGTTTTAATTTGATTTTTAACACCAGTGAAAGAGCTGGAAGTAGTTTGTTCCTCACTCAGTCTAAGGGAATTCTGCTGTACCTTGTCTCATACTAGGAACTGGGCTGGCTAACTCCCTGTTCTCTCATCATCCCACTTTTCTATATTCTCTGTCAAGAAGAAATAATACATATTATTAAGATACCAAATTTCTTGAAAAAGAAATTATTCTGAACAAATCATTTATTAAAAATAAGTCTATTTTGTATCTTAATAGTTTATTTTAAATAGCTTTGTTCAGAATAATTTGCTTTGTTACAGAATTATTTATTACACTGATTTGTTGTGTAAATGATGAAGGTTTTATTGAATGATAAATGATACTATGAAAAATTTTAATGAATCTGTAATAAAATAATTACAAAATTATTTCCCTTCAAAAGAGTGTTAACAATTCCTCTACAAATCATGTTAATCTCAATAAAAAGTTCTAGGAGATATGGTGAGAAGTGAGACATTGAGAGCATAGGGAAGAAAAATTCTAAATTTTTTAACCCCAAATTTCTTTTTCTTGCTGCTACAACCTTCTCAGATTTTTATTAGCTTACAGTAGATAATAAACTATATTTAGAATAGTTTTTCTTTGTTTAGTTGGGTGTTTTTTTGTTACTTTTGCTTTATTCTTTGCTCATTTTAAACCATTATCAAAACAACAAAAGATAGAATTTTTTTTCCGTTGGGTTTCAACAAACAAAGAAAAAGATGAATTTGCCTAAGTGGCCATGGTCTCAGTATATTCATAGAGAACTAAGATATTCAGTTCAATTATAGTGCTAGCTTTCAGAAACTACCATTGAAGATCTGCTTCCCAGTTATTTCTTTTGATTTATGGAAAGAAAACTCCTTTTGCTCCTTCCCAAATCAACTTCCTTTCTCCCCTTTCTTTTCAACATCTCAATCTCCCACCAATAACCTCTCTTTTTCCAAGTTGTTAGACATTAACCTTGTCCATCAAAATATCCTCAAAGATAACCAGATTATACCAGATTAAGATTCTCCCCCAAATTTTATTGGTCTTTGATTCCAACATCCAGTATACGAAGTATGCCTATTTTTAATTTATCATAATATCCTAGAATCTCAGAACTGGTAATTATCTTAAATGTTACTCAGCTACATGTCTGACTCAGGAATCCTTTCTATAGTGTTCTTGAATATGGACTTATACAAGAGGATTTTTCAAACAAACATTAAGACTCTTCTTGACTATGTCGTGCCTTACTTCTTATATTCAAAGATAGATTAAATTTTATTAGATTTGAGTGGAAAATGTATTTAATTAGGTTTTAAAATTAGACTTCCCATATTTGCAAGATGAAATTACTATTAATAGTTTATATTGCTCTACCGACATATTCTCAAATAATTTAATAGGCTAAAAATTTTATTAACCAAGATTCTCTCGCACCCTGCCATGTAGTATCCAGGGTTACTAAAGAAAGTGGTTCTTTTTCGTGATTAGTTTTCTTCCATCTCTCTCTGAGTATCCTATGTCTTCATCATATTCAAATTCACCTCAACACACATATTTCTTCTTTTTGAAACCGCTGCCGTATTCAGTTCTCGGGGTGGTAGTGTAATCAGTGCGTTTTGGAAAAGGGCACAGACTTAAAAGAGATAGACTAACCCCATGTGCATAATCACCATTTCCTGCCAAACACCATATATTTTAATTATATATTTTATTACCTTATTTTACGATTTGTATTATAAATATAATTACATATAGTGATATATTTTATATATAACCTAAAATATTCATTTATTATATATTGTATCCCCTTATTATAATAAGGGAACTCCCTCCTTATAACTGTATTCCCTTGTGAAATGTCATTTTTTTTTAAAAAAAATTAATTAATTTTTGGCTGCATTGGGTCTTCATTGCTGTGTGCAGGCTTTCTCTAGTTGTGGCGAGCGGGGGCTACTCTTCATTGTGGTGTGAGGGCACGCGGGTTTCAGTAGTTGTGGCTTGTGGGCTCTAGAGCACAGGCTCAGTAGTTGTGGGCATGGGCTTAGTTGCTCTGTGGCATGTGGGATCTTCCTGAACCAGGACTCAAACCTGTGTCCCCTGCACTGGCAGGCAGATCCTTAACCACTGCACCACCAGGGAAGTCCAAAACTTCATTTCAAAATGAATACTAATCTTTGATGACTGGAGGTGGCAGAGGTAAAGTACACCAACCTTTCTTCAGACAAAGAGATGCAAAGTAATAAAATATAGGAAATTCCAATTCTTTTCTGTAATTCATCTGGCATATGACATTATTTGTCACCATAAAAATGGCCTGTTTGTGCCATAAAGGTGGTTATTTGCAAAGTCAGGGTAAATAAATTTCTTTGACATGCAAATACAGCATATGCTTTGCCTTCTTTGTCACTTTAAAAAAATTTTTTTGTTTGTTTGGTTTTTTTTTTGGCTGCACTGCGTGGCTTGCAGGATCTTACTTCTCTGACCAAGGATCCAACCCTGGCCCCGGCAGTGAAAGCACCAAGTCCTAACCACTGGACCGCCAGGGAATTCCCTGTCATGTTTTTTAAAGAAAAGTAGTAGAAACTGAAAGAAGCATAGCAAATAGATTTAAGGCACTTAAAGAGTAGGCGAAAAAGAGCCAAGTACAATCTCACAATAAAAACGGTTGTGAAAGGGGGGACCTTGAAGATGGCGGAAGAGTAAGACGCGGAGATCGCCTTCCTCCCCACGGATACACCAGAAATACATCTACACGTGGAACAACTCCTACAGAACACCTACTGAAGGCTGGCAGAAGACCTCAGACCTCCCAAAAGGCAAGAAACTCCCCACATACCTGGGTAGGGCAAAAGAAAAAAAGAAAAAACAGACACAAAAGAATAAGGACGGCACCTGCACCAGTGGGAGGGAGCTGTGAAGGAGGAAAAGTTTCCACACACTAGGAAGCCCCTTCGCGGGCGGAGACTGCGGGAGGCGGAGGGGGGAGCTTCGGGACTGTGGAGGAGTGCACAGCGACAGGTGCGGAGGGCAAAGCGGGGAGATTCCCGCACAGAGGATCAGTGCCGACCGGCACCCACCAGCCCGAGAGGCTTGTCTGCCCACCCGCCGGGGCGGGCGGGGCTGCGAGCTGAGGCTCGGGTTTCGGTTTTGGACGGAGCGCAGGGAGAGGACTGGGGTTGGCGGCTTGAACATACCCTGAAGGGGTTAGTGCACCACGGCTAGCCGGGAGGGAGTCCGGGAAAAGTCTGCACCTGCCGAAGAGGCAAGAGACTTTTTCTTCCCTCTTTGTTTCCTGGTGCGCGAGGAGAGGGGTTTAAGAGCGCTGCTTAAAGGAACTCCAGAGACGGGCGCGAGACGCGGCTAAAAGCGCGAACCCCAGAGACGGGCGCGAGCTGCGGCTAAAAGCGCGGAACCCAGAGACGGGCGCGAGCCGCTGCTAAAAGCGCGGACCCCAGAGACGGGCGGGAGAAGCTAAGGCTGCTGCTGCCGCCACCAAGGGGCCTGTGTGCGAGCACAGGTCACTCTCCACACCCCTCTTCCGTGGAGCCTGTGCAGCCCGCCACTGCCAGGTTCCCGGGATCCAGGGACAACTTCCCCGGGAGAACGCACGGCGGGCCTCAGGCTGGAGCAACATCACGCCGGCCTCTGACGCCGCAGGCCCGCCCCGCACGCAGTGCCCCTCCTTCCCCCCCCCCACCCCCGTCCTGAGTGAGCCGGTGCCCCCGAATCAGCGGCTCCTTTAACCCCGTCCTGTCTGAGCAAGAAACAGACGCCCTCCAGCGACCTACACGCAGAGGCAGGGCCAAATCCAAAGCTGAGCTCCTGTGAGCTGTGAGAACAAAGAAGAGAAAGGGAAATCTCTCCCAGCAGCCTCAGAAGCAGCGGATTAAAGCTCCACAATCAACTTGATATACCCTGCATCTGTGGAATAACTGAATAGACAAGGAATGATCCCAAATTGAAGAGGTGGAATTTAGGAGCGAGATCTATGATTTTTTTCCCTTTTCCTCTTTTTGTGAATGTGTACGTGTATGCTTCTGTGTGAGATCTTGTCTGTATAGTCTTGCTTCCACCATTTGTCCTAGGGCTCTATCCGTCCATGGTTTTTTTTGAAAAAATTTTTTTCTTAATAATTAATTTTAATTGTAATAACTTTATTATACTTTACCTTCGTTCTTTCTTTCCTTCCTTCCTTCCCTCCTTTAGACAACG